CATGTTTTGGAGTACGTTAAGGTAGGATTACACTGGATAGTTGATTTCCCCAACAGACAGCACGTCGGTATCTGCATCTACCTTGAGGTAGTCGTTGTTTTTTGCCCCCAACGGACAGCACATCGGTATCTGAGTCAACATTGGAACGCTGTCCTCAATCAACCCCGGTGGGACCCCCAAAGTGGATTGCGGCCTTCCTTTTGGCTTTGCGTTAGTTCCACAGAAAGAGCTACCCTCAAGACAAGCACACCCTTCAAGGCAGGGATGGGGATAGCCCAATTTCATCCCCATTCATCTTCAAACCCTTCTAAGGACCCCTCCAAACAAGGCTCCAAGACTGGGCCCATGGATTCCTTGAGAATTCCCGCGGTCACCCGCAAAGTGGTAGGTGGAAGGGAACCAATAGATCATGGGTAAAGTTGGTATTGGGTAAAGCACTGTGATGTAGATTAAAGGTTCAAGTGTCTGACTTTACCCCAAACCAACATCATGGGTCACTTGGGTCAGGAAAATTCCAAGTCATGGCCCAAGACATTCTGAGGGATGGATCGGCCTGACGTCAGGTGCACGAGCCCACGACGGGCCGCTGGATGTCGGTGGAGACTGACCAGCCAGGGGCAGCTTGGGCTTTGAGCATCGGAGTGGTCATGTGGTCAAAAGAGGGACAGTTTTCCCAGGTGCTTCCCTTGTTGGGTTCCCTGTAAACCAGGCCCAAGACTTGTTCCCTTCAAAAAAACACGTTTTGTTGTTCTTTTGAGCTTCCCTTGTTTGGGTGGCCAAGCAGGAAGGTTCATGGCTGACTGGTAGGTATGTCTCAATTTCAGCGACACCAACAACGCAAGGGGGAGGCGAAGCCAGCCTTTTACAAAGCCACGCACAAACTTCCATCTGCAGCCCGCTGGTTGGTGGGCGTTAATGCCAAACCGTGATTCAGACACTCAAAAGCAGTGACACCATTAGAGCTCCATAGTCGGCCAATCAACACATTGGATTACGCCAACCCCATTTTTTTTTGTGGGGGGGGGGGGGAGGTTTTTTTGTTGTTGTTTTCTTTTTCTGTTCTTTTTCTTCTTTTTTTTTGTGGGGGGGAGGGTTGGGGGTTCGGGTTTTGACGACAAGATCCGCACCGCCGAGGTTCAGTTCTACACTGGGAACTACCTCACCGGATTCCCAGGCGCCAGCTGCGTGAGCCTCCGACGGCGGAAACCTCACGCTGGGGTTGTCTCAAAAGCAGACCCAACCGGTGGTTTCCTCTGCCCCCTTTGCCACAAAACGGGATGAGCCTACGAAAATTGACACCCTCCCGATATTCCTCCTGGTTTTGTAGAGAGGTTATGCATCCTCCTTGATTGACTGAGGCTGCCGGGACCCCCAATTGCAAGACACCCCTCAGGGTTTGCAGAAGAGAGCGAGAACTGCGAACGCCAAAGCGTGAAGCCTCGCTTTACTTGGCCGTCTTGTTGTTCAGTGAATTTCACGCTTGTCCAACTGTTCTTGTCGGGTGATTCCTGGGCTCCCCACATGGTCAAACAGCCAAAAAGGGTTCCCTTGCGTTTGAGCAGGGTCGGGCAACTGGCACGGTGTCCTTTCCAATGGATGAAGCAGGATGAAGTCGTGTAAAACATCTTTCCAATGGAAGTGCGTATGGTGTTGGAAAGCTACCATTTCAATAACGCCTCCGATCGTCCACTCCCATGCTTGGTGAAATGGATGTTGTTTTCGTTCTGATCGCTTCCTTTTGATAAATTGCAGAAACAAACATTTGGAACACCCTATGGCTATAACCCTGGTCCCTTCCCCAAATGATAGAAAGGGATTCACGATTTTTCTGGGGCGGAAAATACAAGCTTGATTCACCGCGGGTGCTGTTTTCCGAATAGAAGCGAGCTTCCTCACCAAAGCCTGCCGTCGGCGGTCGGCGAGTCCGCGCTCGCGAGTGGCCAGGGCGCCAGGGGAAAGGGGCGTACCAGAAGCACCACGGGTTTTGCCTCGAGGCCCAGCACTTCCCGGATGCCGCCTGGGCCGAAAAACGGGGGCGAACCTTTGGGGCGAAAATCCGAAACGGAGGCGAACGTCATCCCCCAAATCGAAGGGCAAGAACGGAATCTTCCCCCTCACTTGGCGGTTTGCGGCCGGCCGGTTCCTGAGGCTTTTTGATGGTTTTTAGCGGGTGTGGTGCTTTTCACTTAAACCACTAGATGAAGAATGCATTTGAGCCAGATTTTAAAATTAACCAGCTGATTTGTATCCTGTAAATCAGGTAGTTGGATGTATTGGAGGTCCAAGAGACCCTGAAGAAACCGCTTGGGACGTACGACGAGGCGCGTGGGACAGTCTTGGAGCTGAGGCGCCGAACCGTGGGCACTTCCTGCCTGTGGTGTTGCTCGGCGGATTTTGACCGGAGACCTCCGGTGGTGATTTGTTTTCAAACAGTTTGTTCCCCAACAGGTTGAAAGTTTGACCTGGGCAGTGTTCAACTTGTTTGCTTGATGTTTTCTCCTTTTTTCCGAAACGTGCCAGGGAAGACACAATGTAGGGTTTTTCCCCCGCAACTGCTGAAAGCCATGGATTTGGTCTCGCTTGAGAGTTCCGGAGGATTCCGGGGTTGTTGGGGATGGCACCTGGATTGAATGGAGGTAAACCCGGGTATCAAACAAATAGGTGTGCCCTTTTTTCCCCGTCACAGGGCTGAGGGGATCACCCTGGGCAACCGCAAGGCTGGTACATAAGGCATTTGCCTGCTTTCTGGCGAGCGGTTCCACCCGTTCGGGTTGTTTACTTGAGGATGTCTTCCTCATTTAATGTCCAGGTGTTGGACGTTTTATGACCTGTAAACATTGCACCTTGAGAGCCCCAGAATTCCAGCGGGGCATGTCCTTTTTGCCTGAGAATCCTCGCTTGTTGCTGGGTTTCGCCCTCACCTCTCGGCCGGGGGAAGAGGCCCAGTGTAGGGGTTGCACCGGAACTACATCCCTTTTTGGTTTGGGGGCTTGGGACCCAAGTCGCGAACCCAACCTTAAGATTGATTTTGTTTTTGGTCCAGCCGGAAGACTTGGCAACTAGCGACTCCAGCCCGCCAACATTTCCCCCCACCCAAAAAGAAGAGAGAAAAAGGAAGCGCCAGCATTCCCCCCCTAAAAGAAAACAATACAACAAGCAAACAGCGAAAAGGGAGCTCTGATCCTTTTGGTCACCGGAAAACGGCTTGCCTGGGGCAGTTGTTGCCTAAGGCTACGGCCAGGAGAGACCTACCGCCAGCACACCGTGTATACTTTTGGGGCGGGAGCTGGCAAGTGAAACTCGCAGACCTCGACGAAATTTATGTCCCGAGTTGGGAGCTCGGATGGTCGGTGAATGGAAAGGCCCAAAAGCCGCACTTCCTGAGTCCCTGGACTTTGGGGCTGCTTTTTGGGGTTGGACCATTTTCGGGACAAACAGAGGTTTGGACTTTTGTTTGGCCTTCGGAAGTTATTCTAATTGAGTTTATCGTCATGCACCTGAATAGCCCTGAAATGTCTTCCAAGTCACATACCCCAAGTCGGTTGCCGGACAGTGCCCAGGACGAGCTGAGAAAAGGATCCTTCGGGGTGAACCACACAAAAAACACCCGAGCCTGAACATATCAACGTAACTCGAACTCTTTCGGCTCCCCACAATTTTGAGCTCCCACTTTTGTGAACACAGCGCTCTTCGACTCGGACCCAAATCGCGGCGTATGACGAGTGAGGGACAGCCAAAATGTGCGCCAGCGCGAACAGCTGCGCTCACTGTTTCGTGCTCTTTTTGATGGTTCACTTTTTGGGGAAACCAAAGGGAAGCCACCCATGTTGGGGCCGCTTCTCAGAAACATCCTGTTGAAACTGTCCTGGCAGGCTATGGGGCTGCTGCCCTAAGCGAAAGCGCCTCCGAGGTTTGACACATGGCACATGCCCATTTGGGAAGAGATCGGATCTATACTACACATGGCCCTTTTGACTGGTGACTAAAATGGGTTGGTTTTCCAACCAACACCATATTGAGAAACTGCCATGTGAGTACTGCTCTTGACCCCCTATTCGCCATGTTAGTAGGAAAAGCTATGACTAGCTTCATGAATGAGGTGCATTTGACCATCTTTGGCTTCGAAGCAAAAGTCAACTCCGTTGTTGGGCACTGCTTCTGCGAGCAGCGGACAAAATGGCTGGCAGTCTGTTGTTAGTTTGGGGAGGATGAGAAGGCGGCCCGGCCCCAAAGGGTTAAGACCGCCTAATTTATCACGCATGCGAGGAGCCACAAGTTTTGCCAATCGGTTTCTCTTTGAAGCACACCCCAAAACGAAACATCAAACAGCCATGTGGTCTGTGTGCCCTCGTCCTTGTTTTAAAGGGTACCCTTCTTGGGCATGTTCAGGAGAAGCCACAAAGAGTTGCAATGTGGTCCTTCTAGAACAATGGAAGAAGGGCACAAGTCAACACGATCAGGTGACCGTACAAATGTTTCCCATTTGCGCACGAAAAGGTTCCGAAAGGAAAACATATTTTTCCTGGTCCGTGCCATGAGAGTCTTTGCAAACTTGGACAGCTACGTGACTCTGGCTTGACAGAGCTCTCAGACAATCCTTGCCTCTGTTGTCGGCATGCCTTTAGTTTTAGTTCGTTTTTGGTTCTGTCCATTTTTAGGTGGGCTGCAACAAATACCGTGTTTGCTACCATGTAAAGTTACCAGGTGACAAATGAACCAAGGCACTGTACCGAACTCCGCTCGCCTCCCCCGGTTCGTATGTTTCTGTTTTAATTGCTTTCTCCACGTTTTTTGCCCATGGTTCTCAGTTCTCAGTCCCTTTCTTTTGGCCCTTCTCAGTTCCTTTTGGCCCTTCTCAGTCTCTTTTGGCCTTTCTCAGTCCCTTTTGGCCCTCAGTCCCTTTGGCCCTTCGCATCACCGGGCTGTGGCCGTCTATCCGCTTTGTTTTTTGGCCGCGCGCCGCGTCTTTCGCAGGGAGCGCGCGCGCGCACTCAGCGCAGGTGGAGCCCATGCAGCGGGAGCTGGCGGCCAGCCGCGCGGACGCCCGGACTTCGCAGAGCCCCGGCGGACGCCGGTGGGTCACCTCCCCCGGTTTTGGGAAATGAGGGGCCGGCGCGTCGTTTCTTCTTGGAGCCCCTGGATTTCTTTGACTGGATTTCGGTGGTTCTTGCTTGGTTCCCCTTCAAACAGACCCCTTCGATTGGATTTTTCGGTGGGGTTTGTTTGATTGGTTTCCCTGGAAAAAAGCAGGAAGAGACACCCCGGAATGAATATTGGTTTAAGTTGCCCTGTTGGTTGTAAAGGGAGTCTATCATTACGAGTATTGGACATATAGTTTTTTTTTGTCTTAGGAGGGTTGAGCAAATAGTCAAAGTGTTTTCTGTTGCCCCGGAGTTGGTAGCTGGTCCGTTAAAGAATCAAGCCGACTCCTGGCTGTACATTTGCGTTGTGAGATAAGGCGGAAAATGCCAAGCCTCTTTGGGCGTGGGGAAATCTTTAAAGATATGGGTTGTTTGGCACCCAGAGTAACAGTAGGCTGGCAATTCCCGTCCTGGGAAGGGGACGACCAGTGATCCCTAATTGGGAGGAGAGATGGTGGCAGCTCTACTTTCAACCGCATACAGTTCCAACCCTTCGCCTGCAGGGCTAGTTTCACCCATTTGTTTTTGTCGAAGTTGGGAGACCTCTTCAGTGCTCCAAGTGGCTTGGTTGTTTGTTTGCGGGTATGAGGTGGCCATGGTCATAGGGGCATCAGTGGCCACGGGGTCTACTGTGTTTATAGCCCTATTTCTAGTCAAAACTTGGAGCTGCCCCCACCCCCCCCCCCCTGCCAACGCGAAGGCGAACGTATGGCCTCAGACTTGTGCGGGAAGGAAACGCTCCTCAGTATCTGGGGAGAACGACCGGTTCAGGAGATTTCCTAGGTGCAGCGCGGACGGGTTCAGATCGACAACTGTTCCCTCATGCGGGATGGCTCTCTGGATCCGGAACCGAGCACTACAACGAGACGCATCCAGGGAAGCACTCGGAGAATCAGAGAATCTGGGTCTGCGGCATGGCGGCGCGCGGCGCCACCCGGAAAGGGGCCGCGGCCCGCTTCCTTTTGCGTGTTCCTCCGACCGGATGTTGGAAATCAATTCTGACCTTGTTGATTGGTGGGTTCCCCCCTGAAAGAACCCTTGGGCTGCAATTATTTTTCCTTTTTTCTGCCAGGGAGACTCGGCAACTGGGAAGTCTAATGATTTTTCCCCTTCCCAAGAAAACGAGGAAGATACCCAACAACACCGTGGGGATTTGGAGCCTGAGTTTAGGTGAAACATCTTGCAACGTGCCGAGCCGGACGAAGGTTGTAAACTCGGTCCATCGAATCCTTTGACTCGGGTCCCAAAAGGAGTTCCCTCAAGACATCACTTTTTTTCATCCGCAGAAAATAGGAAGTGAACAAGAGCCGAGTTCTAGCCATACCATTCGGCGGCCAGGCAAACTCCTTCGGGCTGGAAAACCCGCTTGGTTTCCCCAGGGGGTTCCATGGTTTGAGATTCCCTGTGTGTTCTGCTTCAGGCCTTGAACTCTTGTCTTTAAAAGAGGGCGACGTCGGAAATCGGTTGCAAATCGGCTTCCATTCGATGTTCACTTTGCTGGTCAACACGGGCTTTGTGAATGAACCAATAGATTCCCTTCACTTTGGGGTAACTCCCTTCCCTGAGACGCAGCAAGTTGGATGAGTATGAAGGGTCACAAGCTCATTTGCCCAACGCGAATCGGTGTTACTTTTGGTTGTTCTTTTTTGGGCCGCTTTTGGCAAAGGCCGTAAATGGTTCACATTCTATTTCCAGGATTTTCAGCAAGTGAGTTTAGGGTAGACCAAATATGGATCAGCGTTTGAAAACATCACATGATTGGAGTGCTCCAGATCTGGGCCAACACTATCTGAACTCCTGTTTCGAAAGGAAACCGTTTTTTGTTGTTTTGGGGAGGGGTTCTCCTCCGGTTATATCTGTCACGTGTGCCCTCCCTGAAGCCATCGTGGAAGCTGGCAGGAGGGGTTTTGGAAGACGATCCAAGCCTCTTGGGGAGCTGTCCAGTTCCATGATTGTAGGGAGGGTAAGGCTTGACATTTGGGCCGCACTCCGCAAGGCCCTCCTGAAAGTTTTCGGAAAAATGGTAGCCAGCCAGTTTGGGATTCTCTTGCGTTTCGAATCATTTGGGGAAGACCTTTTTTTGGCAGTCAACAAATATTGGTGCTTCGAAATTCCAGTGAGAATATACCTTTTTGGTGTTAAAACAATAATCAACAAGCCGACTTTTCGGTGTTTGTTTTAAGAAAACCGCACAACAGCGAAGCCACTTTTCTGGGCCAAGCCGCTCGTTCGGAACTGAGTGGCCCGCCACGCCGCCCAGGGAGCTTCTGCCAGCGCTACGTGTCTGGGCGCCTGCGCGCCTGGCGCCGCGGCTTCTGCCAGGAGGCGCGCTTGATCCATCCGTCGCGAGCGCGGCCGCGGCGATCGGAGTGGGGGGGAGGGTTGGGTTTGCAGGCGGGTTTAGAGGGTCTATGTTGTTGCTGGTTTTTTGTTGCTGTTGTTTGTTGAAGCTCGGGGCTTTGAGGTTTTAACAGGGCTCCTTAAAAGATCTCCATTTTGCCTGCCCATTTGAAACACGTTGCTTTTTCAACACCAAAATAAGGTTGGACACCACCATTTACAAGGCAATGTTCAGGTGTATACTCTAAGGATCCCTGTTAGAGGGTCTATGTTGTTGCAGTTTTTTTTGTTTTTTTTTTGGGGGGGGGGGATGCCATATTTTTTCGGCACATGCATGTTTTTCGTGTGGACCTGGGGACGGTGTTGCCTTCTCGGGCCCCGTGAAGCAGGCTGGTTTTTGCGGGAAAGCCAGGCAGAAGCCCATCTGGTGGTTCGACGTTGTTGTTTTCTTGTTTGGCTTGTTGGATGTTTTTTTTTGGGTTGGGGGGGATGCCCACAGAACTACATGACTTTTGGGGGCGCTGACTTCATCAACCAACAAACTAGGGGTTCGTACCGTGAAACAATGTATTTTTTGACCGTGGCGCATAAACTGCCTGAGTACGATTGAGTAGGCAAAACAACATCCCAGACCGAAGCGACTAAGGGAAGCCAACCGGAAACCACCCGAAAACCAACCATGTTGGAGGTTGCCCCATGCGGGACCCCAAGTCCACCAAATGAAGGCCCTTTTTAGCTTGGGTTTAAGGGAATCCTTATTTTGACACATATTCGGATAGAAAATCATATGGTTTTGAGAATCAGGTAGGCCTTCATTTGTGGCTTGAGATTGCGGTTTCTTAGGGAGTGAATGGGAGAACATCCCCGAACAACCGAGCTCCAAACCGCCAAGCGAAGCTGAAGTTTTGCTTTGTCGAAAAACCAGAACCTGAACAAGAGCCGACCTCCAAACCTGGCCTAGGTGGTCCAAGCCTCGCGCACTGGGCTTCCGGTCTCGGAATTCCTTCGCAGGTGTTGTCACTTTGGGCAGCCCAGGCGCGGCTGGAGCGCCGGGCTCCTCAGGCGGTGGCGCGCGAATTGTGGCCGGATGGTGACCGAATCTCCCCATTTGTTTTGGACCTTTTGGAAACAACAATTTGCTTGTTTGTGTTAAACCTATAAAAGAGGGTGAACCTTTTGGCTCAGGGAGAAGAGCGGCGCAGGGAGTTTGTTTCTTTGTTTGTTTTTTTTAATCCTGCAGAAGGTGATCTTGGCCCAGGGGAGAAAAGAGCTGCCCAGGGATCGTCGGGGTGTCTGGCAAATGGCGAGCTCGCGAAAGGTAAAGCAAGCTGATGAAGGTTCCTCACTTGGGGGAGCTCTTTTCCAGTTTGGTTTGAAGGGAAGAGGGAAAACCACCCGTTTTGGGGATCCCTCGCAGCTTGTCGCAGGCCAAGATACATCTTGCATAGAGCCTTTGGGGCCTCAAGTCATGGATGAGTGAGTGGTCCTAGGGGTAGGGAGTGGTCCCGGTTTGGAATACTTTCTAGGCTATCGGAAAATATGGTTGCAGTGCCCCTAAAAACAACAAAACAAATGGCCAAGCAATGGCAGACAAACAACATGGCCTTTTCGGAATCTGTTTTTTTCTTTGGGGGGGGGGTCGGGCGTTTGGTGCCTTTCGTGAATTTGCAGGTCCCGTTGTTTTTTTACACACCCAGGAACCACGCCTGAAAACCACCAGAGCCTCATGTTTCCATATGGCTGTGGGTCAAAACCGATGGTACCCTTCTGGGGTAGGTGAATTCACCACCCATGTTAGTCTATTTTAGCGGTTGGACTGGGATGTTCACTGGGTACGATTTGGATTTTGAAAAGCCCACGGCCCTATGGCCAGGAAGTTTAAGATGGAACCCCAAGGGAGGCCTTGCCATGCGATAGGGCGAATGGCAAAGATCTAAGCACCCAGCCACAGGAAGTCCTTCTTTTGGGTATTTGGCACATGTCCTAAGTTGCAGTTCCTGTGGCTATGAAACGATTCCACGGAGCCGTTGGGCTTCGTTCCCACGGAATCGACAGGTCAAGCGCAGGCGGACCAGGCGAGGCCGATCGGAGCCGGGAGAGGTGTTCGCCTGAAGCCGATTCATGGTGTTCGCCTTGGTCGGTTATTTGACTAGGGCTCCTTAACAGATACATCTTGCCCATTTGAAACATGGCTTTTTCCACCAAAATACAGAGAAACCACCATGTACAAAGCAATGTTCAGGTGTATAATGTAAGGATCCCTGTCATTGACACAAGTTGTTTGGCTTGGACATGTTGCAACCTGATCTTTCAGCCAATATTTGTAGCTTCCGTTGAACAGGGCCGGGGTCCGGCGATTCTCAAACCCAAATCAGGTTGAAAGTCGCTCATGTGAATATCAGCCTGTCAAATCCTTTCAAAGAGGACCATGGCCCACCCGCACAACAACCGAATGGTTTCCATGGGCTTTGCGGCATAACAGTGTCTCCCAGCCGAGCTGCCGGACTTGAGTCTCGCAGGTTTTTGTTGGTTGGGTTGCAAAGCCCGGGACTGTTTTGCTTGCCCATAGGTCTCTGCAAATATGTGAAAGATCCAAGGCTCGCAAAATAAGGCAGAGGAAGTTAAAGCAGGTGATCTTTCTTTTCACGGTGTGGGTGTGTCTTTCGTTTTGATGGTACCTCTTTTTTTGGTTTTGATTTGTTCGGGAGAAACCAAGCTGGAATGCCGAAAGCTGTTTTTGGGGGGGTACCCCAAAAAAAGACGAGCCAGCCGTATGAACACATGACTTCCTCGGTGTTCCCTCGGGTTCCAAGTCCCGTGACCCGAAAAGCCCCCTCCCTGGCTCTGCACCCGGCTCGGCAGGTCAGGGGCCGTCTGCGGGAAGAGGCCAGGGGTCCATTCCCGGCGTGGGTCTGGTTTTGCAATTTTTGGGAGGGAACCGAATTCGAGCTCCAGTGCTTGTGGCCTTCTTTCTTTCGTTTTTTTTTTTTTTTTTTTTTTCTTTTTCTTTTTTTTGTTTAAGTCGGGTTGGGGGGGGGGGGTTGGCCCTTTCGAGCTTTTGTTGGGGGAGCCTCCAGTGGGTTGCCAAAATCTGGATCGAAGGGATGGAAGTGAAATCCAAAATGAACTACCTGGAGCTCGTTCAAGACCTGCAGTGGTGCTATCCTTAGTCCTCTTTTTTTTAACGGGAGGGGTTGGAGGGGGCCCGCTTTGAAGTCCACTATACACGGGTGCCCCTTGCTTTGAAAGCGAAACCCAAAGGAAAGCTCTCGCTTTGCTGGCCGCCATCAGTTTGACACAGCACCCCTTCACTTCCACAGGAATGTGGTTCAGCTTTGCAAGAAACATGGTTTGTTTCATGTTTCCATGAGTGACAAACCCGGGGAAGACGGGGAACCCAAACCCTTGGTTCTCTACTAGAGGTTTGAAGCGCCACCCGATTTTCTGCCCTTCAAGGGGTACCTCATCCGATGTGATTGACGCCAGCTCCCCAAAAGTGAGATTCGCGACCCATTGAGTACGGCATCACCGCATTGGACCCCACCTCCCTTTGGAGGTCAATGTCTTCGGCAACATTTCTCAGCCGCGAAACATGTGTCGCCCTTGCCCAACCCCCCCGGAACATGTGCTCACCCCCTGAAAACAATGCGCTTCTTATTCCGGAGTTGTGTTTTGAACTCCGGAATTGTGGGACGACCGATCCGATCCGCGTCCTTCTCAACGCCAGGCCCTTCGCCGCATGGGGGCGTCTCTGGGCGCGCTGCTGGGCGCCAGCGGGGGACCCGGCCGATGTTGCCGATCTCGCGCGCTTGAGCTGAGAGTTTTGGCGTTTGCGGACAAAGCGATGTACCTTTTCTTTGGTGCATTTTGCTTGGATGTTAGGACTTTAACTTTTTGCCAATGAATGGGTTTTCCATTAAACCACGAAAAGTTAAACTTTTAGCAGGCGAGCAGAAAACAACTGAGTTTTGTTGGGTTCAGCACAGGTTCAGAACAAAATGGGTCTAGAAATGGGTGTGTTTTGAAGGGTACCCTTGAGTAGTGTAGAAGGAAGGCTAAAGGAACTACCATCATTTTGGGGGCTTGAAAAGGCCCCTCCGGAAGCGTTCCAGCCTACAAAACGCATCGTCTTGGATGGGAATGCTAAGGTTTAAGTCCCCGAGCCCAAACTTGGAGCCGCACTGACCAGATTTGTATGGACACATTTTAAACATTTTGGTTCTTGTGGTTTAGTGGTGGAAATCCAAATCCACTTAACTGCTAAAATTTAATTGTTTGCTCCGCTTCCAACTTCAACCAGCTTCCGCATTCCAGTTGGCAAGTCATAGCCTTCGGATGAACTTGGAACCCCAAAAGCCAGGAGTTCTGAAGGACATGTGTAGAGGATTTTTTGTTTTTGGGGGACTTTTTTGGGGGTTTCATGTTAATTTTCAGTTTTTTGTTGTTGTTTTTTTGAGGGGGGGGACCTTTTTTGTGGTTTCAATTTAAATTTTAGTTGTTATTATTATTATTATTCTTATTTTTTTGGGGGGTTGTGGTTTCATGGTAATTTTAGTTGTTTTGTGTTTGTTGGGGGGGACCTTTTTTGGGGTTTCATGTTAACTTTTAGTGTTTTTTTTTTTTTGGGGGGGGGGGACCTTTTTTGGGGTTTCATGTTAACTTTGAGGTTTTTTTTTTTGCGGGGGAGGGACTTTTTTGAGGTTTCATTTTTTTTTTGGGGGGGGGACTTTCTTTGGGGTTTCATGTTAATTTTTAGGGGGTAACATGTAGAGGGCTTTCCCTGACCCCAGGCATCCTTCGTTGCTCCCATGCTTTCCGAGGTGCCGAACGCGTCGAGCAGTTCGTGCTTGAGGCCAGCCGCTGGCGTATCCTCAAAACGGCATTGAGAGGGAGTCCCCGCTCGGCCGGCTCTTTGGTTCTTCTAGGGTGACACACCCAGTCCAAATTGGCGTGCGTGCCAAAGTAGGGCGCCCCTAAGAAACAGTGGTATCCTTTGACACCCCCAGTGAACCAAATGGATGTGCATGCCTGAACCGGGGCGCCCCCCTTTCAGTCGGTCTCCTTTTGGCTCCAACCTTGACACAGGATAACTCAAACAGACACGGCCCATCCATGAGGCTCAGCCTGCAGGCCTGGCATCACTTGGTGGACTCCAAGAAGCATGTGTCAGCCATCCAGGCGCCAGCCGTCGATCGAGGGATCGAGGAATTTTTGCCCCTCGCCCTTCGGAGGAATTCCGGGCTCTGGGTAGGCGGCTGTCGTGTTTTTTTTTGTTCAGTACCCAAGAAAAAAACCGTTCAGATGGTCCGGGAGCTTGCTAATGGTTGCCCCTTCGCAACGACTTACAACCAGGGAGGGTCACACTTTAGATCCTACACTGTTTTGCGGAACACCCAAAGCGAATCGAGCTTCTGAAAATTGGAACCCTTTGGTTTTCGAGGCTTGGGCCATTTATCATTTCGAGGCTTGGAGTTCCTTTGGTGGCTTGGTGTAAAGGGAAACCAGAAGGAATCCGACAAGTTGTTTGGGGTGCCCCTATTTGGCGGACAGCCATTTGTTTTGTTGGCTTGTGCGGGATACCAAAACACAGCACCCGGCGCAGAAAAAGACCTGTTCAGTTTGTTGGCATAGCCAAAAATCCGAAACCCGGGAGGCGAAAGAGATGCTTTCAGCCGGTTCGGTTGAAGGCCCCAGGTTGAATCATGGACCTCGGGGGCTAAAACGGCCTTGTTGGTGGCTTATCCTCAGCTTATCCAGGCATAGCGTCCCTACATTCTGAACCAAGGATCCTTCTGATAGGGAGATGGCAACCAAGCCTCAGTGGATTGTTGGCGGGTACTCAAAAACATGAGGGGTGCAAAGAAGGGGGGGAGGGATGAGGTCAGCAATTGTATGTGGTGTTCCTGAAGCAGCAGCAAGAGACACCACATGTGCCTTGACTTGTTTATGTCATGTTGGTGTTATCCCGCCCTGTTTCGTACCTAAACACCTCACCGTTAATACTAATGTGTGTCTTGCCACAAACATTCGGGTACGTGTTTAGATCTGGTTGCTTTTTCTCCGAATTTGTTCAGTGGAGCTGGGAACTCAGTGAATTGTGTTGTGTTTGACCTTAAACTGGCTCCCCAAAAAGGAAGCTGCGCTATACAAGTGACTTCTTGAGAGGAATGGCCAAATAAACTCCACAAGTTTTTATTCACCAAAATCGTGCTCCCGAAACAGTGACCAAGATCTCAGATTTCTTTTCGGCGCTTTGGCTACGTCAGGCGCTGCAGGCTGAATGGCATCGCGCTCGGGTTCCAAGACCCCCAAGAGTCCGGAGAGTGACTGCCGACTGGGGTTTGAACTATTTGGGCGTGTCTCTTTCTAGAACCCCACCATTTTGGGTGGGTGTCCTTGTTTCCTTTGGAATCCAAGAAAGACACCATGTTGGGTATCCGTTGGTGCTTTGGCTTGGGGCTTTGGATTTGGATTTGGACCCTTGCTTCTTGTACAACCCACCGGGCTCTAAGAAGGAAAAATCGGGTCCTCTAAATAAAACATATATGACTTGGTGCGATAGGCAGGGAATGAGTCGGAACCCCAAAAGAGACCATCCAACCTGTGCTTTCCTACGAAATCTTTCATTCCCAAAGCCCGGACTCGGTCATTATCTACCTATCGCACCAGCAAGATGCAGAATCTGAACACATGATCTTTCTGTGCAGCTCATATTCGGGCCAAGTCTTACACTTTAAATAAAACACTCAATGGTTTCTCTGTAAACCCTGTATCGGGACACCGCGTCGAGTTGTTTAAACGTGTTTCCAAACCATGAGGGGGCAAGCTTCGGTGGTGAGGTAGCAACCCCTGATTGAGATTGCTATGTGCCCAGAATAATTCTCTGTTTAGCAGAAGGGCCTGGTCCAATTGAGCATGGAGCACCATTTTTGGTGGGCAACCACGTGTGTGGAAACACCTGTGTGGGCTCGTGAATTGGTGGGGTTCTCAAAAAGTCTTGCTGTCAAGATCTTAAGATCTCGAAGGAGCAATGGGCCTGGCGTTTGTGATCCGCGACTTTGCTAAGATTTTCCAAGTGGTTCGAAATTTCAGTTGACCCCTTCTCACCTCTGGCAACCCCTTGAAACCCTCTCGAACGACTCTTGTCGCCACGCTTACAGACCATGTTGCAAACCAATCCCGCTAAGGAATGTTGCGACTGCTCGCTGGAGTTCTTTGGGTCGCTTCCTAACGGGAGACCAACAGCAAACCATCCGCCATTGGTCTTGGAGTGTGCGTGGTTTGCAATCGCGGAAAGAAGGATTTGCAAAGGGTTACTAGGGAATCAGGGACCAACGGAAGCTTCCATAGCTTGATTGCTATTGGGTTGGATCTTTAGACTTCAACTTTTGGGAAATCAAGGGGCTTTCTATTGCACCCGCAAAAAGTCAAGTTTTTCCAGAGGGGTCAACAGCAACCAAGAGAAGTTCGAGATCGTCCACGTATCGTTGGATTTTTTTGCGGAGTTCTTTGCCGCACTTGGGCCGTTTCTCCCACAATTTGCCCAGCATTTCTTCACTCACTTGTCCAAATGACCTGGAACAGAACAGGCGTCAGCTCTAGGACCCACTAAAAAAAGCAAAGAACAAAACAAGGTTGGAAAAACCAAAGGCCAGTCCAGCTCAATTCGCAAATCCTCGAAGCGAGAAACCCAGAAAGCACCCAGGTTGGGTGCGTAAAAACCTTCGCAATTCCCAAGTGGCTGTGGCTCAAAATTAAACAGGAGGGGTTACGCAGGTTTTGGTCCATGTTTCTACTTACCAGGGTTCCATTTTGGTACCGGTTTTTTGAGCCACAGCCAAGTGGCACCCGGAAGTTCATTCCCGGTTCTTTTGTTGTGCCTTTTGGGCCAAATTGAGGGACATGAGAGGAGTTGGGACCCCCCCCCCTTTTCGCCCGATGCAAAACGGGCCAATCCTTTCCAGGCCGAAGCCGAGATCAACGAGACTTGCCAGCACCTCAGTGCGTAGCTTGAGGAGATTCACCTGGAAGCCACTTGGATCTGAAAGCCATAACCTGCTGGAGTGACCAAAAAGGGTCCGAATGCTTTCGGGGTTCTGATTTCTGAGATCTAAGGTCCCACCTGCTACAAATGCTTATAGACAACTTATAGAGATATGGCTGGTACAGGTGTACAAGGGCCAGCCAGGGCACATACCCAAACAAAATCCCCGGCGATGGGGAGTCGGCAGCCGGTAAAAACATCAAGAAGCGCAGGCCTCGGGATATGGCCCTTGGACACTGTGAAAAGTGCAACTGCCAGTTGGGATGGAAATCAACTTGAACAGGTTTAAGTTGATAGGCCCTTTCTTTGGCTCCCTTGAAGCTCCCTTGAACACATCTTGGACAAAATGTATCGGCGGTTTCTCCTGGAGCTACCCCTTGCGCACTATCTTCTTGCAAAAATGTATGGCCCCCTTCCCAACAAGTGTCTCCGGCTTCTTCTTGGAGGGGAGCCCAAACTGCGGGAAAATGATTCGGAAGCAAACTCTTGCAAGGGAAATGGTTTCGAGTGGTTTGTTTGCTTTCCGAGTTGTCAGGCTGGGCTCACGATTTTGATGGTTTCTAGGGGTTAAAGTCGGAAACGGAAATTGCGGGGCTGTTTCCCTTTAATCTACCACGTAGTAAGGAAAGAGCGACTTTAGTTGTAAACTGGGACCAGAGGTTGATTGACCAATCTCCAGGCTGAAAGGTCAGGGAGCTCGTTGGTTCAAAAAACGTGTGTGCGTCGAAAGGAGCAAATTGTTAGAATCCATGTAGGGTTACAAGTAAGGGTTTTGAGGGTAAAGGAGCGCCCTGTCACGCTGCCGGCTTGTCAGAGGTGCACGCAGCAAGCAGAAGGTGTCCCAAGCAATCATGGCAGGGGCCCAAGTGGGCGCCAGGCGCTGCCTCAACGCCGTCGCTCTCATCAGAAACTGCCCATGTTCCGCGTGGTTTGGCAAATTTGCCCGGGCTGTGGCTCCTTTTCTCTGGAGTTTGGCGGCCAGTTTGAACAACATGGGATACGAGCGGAAGCACTCGAAGGGGTGTTTGTTCTCCCCACCCTGGAAGTACTGTAAACATGGAACCGGCAGGCATACCCCCAATGATGTGATGTTTGTTCTCGATCGCTCCGGCTGGTCGCTAGATCTTTGGTGTCGACCCTTGGTTTCCTATGAGGCCTTGCCAAGCTTTTGTGGAACCTGTTTGTTTTCACCTGGATGTTGTATGTTCTGGTTGTATTCACTCTCCCAGTTAGTGGACTTGAAACTTTTGTGGTGAACAAGTCTGGGCTTCTGACCAATCTACTCGGGAAGCAAACTGTTCACCCGGTTTTGTTCTCCCATCTGTATGTTGTTCTTCGCTTTTTGGAAGCTCTTGGATGTTTCCTCAGAACCTCAAGGTTGGACTGGTTTTGTTCCGCGACTGAGGGTGTACCCCTTGAGTGAACTGCGTGAGTTGACTCCGGGGGATCTCAAAATGGACCCGGTGTGCCAGATTCCAAGCATTCGTTTCAGCCACTCTTTTCTTTCCGATCGCCTGCCAATGCCGGGTTGAGGGGGTTTTGCTGTATGGAAAGCTGCAGATCCGATCCCTGGATCGAAGTTAGAGCAATTGCCCGGAGGCTTTCGAGCGGCAGGGCCTTTTGCAACTGCACAGCCGTCACTCGTCTTTGGTAGTTGGTTTGTACAGCTCAGTCGCGATTCAGTGGTGGGCATTCTTTGGTAGCTGCAGGTTCTTGGCCACGAGAGCAACCGACAATGGGCGACAATGGGCCAGTTTGGGTGATGGAGCCCACCATTCGGGAAGAAACATCCTGAGGATCAGAGTTGCGCCATCATTTTTTCTCCTGCCGGAGGTTGTGGCAGAGAGCGGATCTCATCTAGGGACGTTACTCTTGCCATTTTGAGCCAAGATTATGTCTGATCATCGGCAGAGGCGTCGCAAACAGCACAGGTAGACGTTTGCATCAGCAGGTTAAGTGGAGTTCTTGGAACATGTGTCCAGTCGTTGTCCTTTCTCCAGGGCCCAATTTCTACGCTTCTGATCAGTCGAATTGGAAGGACTTGATAGCCTAGAAATCACTCAAAGGAACACATAAGGGTATGGTTCAGTTCGTGCCGATTTCATCCATAGCGCTGATCCATTTGGCAGCCCAGTTTCCAGCTATACCACATGGGTTTTGTAGAGTTCGGAGTTGGGTTCATGACATATCATATCCCTTTAAAAGTATAACGACAGCAAGGGAGCAACGAACCACTCAGTGCTCGAAACAGTATACAACCAAAATGCGTGTTTTCGCTGTTTCCCTTTAAACCAACCCAAGAAGGGTTATCAAGCTTTTTTGGTATTCGCCTGGCGGCATCAGGGTCTGAAACGGGGGCCATGTGTTTAACCACAACCCATTCAGCGGGGTGATCCGGACACCACACCAGTTGGTGGTTTCCCTTTCGTGGTTTCCTTTTGGGGGTTTCCCTTTGGTGGTTTCCCTTTGGTGGTTTCCCTTTGGAGGTTTCCCGTAAATACTAAAAAGGAGATCTTTGGCCGCAAAAATGCGACCGAACTAGGCATCCATATTCCAGAGCACGGTTTGGATGCGTTTTTTGTGGATCCAGCCCTCTAGGATAGATCAAAAGAGCGCTCAAAGAGTATTAAACGAAAAACAACTGGCAAAACCAACAGGGGAAAAGCCACAGAAGGCGTATCTCCTGTGCGGTTTTGCTTGACACATGGGGTTCTTTCAACAGGGCAAAAGCCACAGAAAGCGTGTCCCCCGTCCGTTTTTGCTTGGCACATGGGTTCTTTTCCCCGCGGAGGCCTGGCTTCAGGGCGGCGGCGGCGTCAACCTGCACGGGGTGCTGAAGGGTTGGGCCATCGCTCGGCCCTCGGCACGCCGCGGCACGCCTCGGCACGCCTCGGCACTCGGGCGCTTCCTCTGCTGGTGCTCGGCCGGGAAGGAGAGCTGGAATGACCCCTACAAACAATCCAACAGGTGAATACCTAGGTTCATTCCCGAATCCAGGTCTTGGTCATTCCCTACTGAGCACCAGCAAGTCTTTGGGTTGATACTGTGGATGGTTTTGCGAAATCCATGAAACACACCACCGTTCAGAAACCAAGGGATGATTCGATTCCCCAACGTAAGTACACACAACAGTTATGGTTTCCGTTGGTGTCAAAGTGCTGCTTCACGAACTAGGGTTCCCTATGCCGGTGTCCTTTTCGTTTTCCCTTTAAATACTGTGGCTGGCTGCGAAATCCGTTCGCGCATGTTCGCACCCTTTGAGGGCACCCTTTCTTGGTTTAAAGGGAATCAGAGGGACAGCCATCGTTGGCAAGTCGGGGGTCCCCTTTCCCGTGTTTCTCACTGCTTGAGGTTCTTTAGTCACTCGGGCTCGGACCAGTTGAAAAGCCAACAGAAAGTGAGGTTCGCGGTTCGAGCTCACCGGTTGGGCAAGGGATTGAACACCCATGGGTTGAAATCTGGAGATTTGTCCTGATTTCAGCTGTGGGGTTATGCAACAACCCAGCAGATCCGTGGTCTGGAGGGACGCCATCCCCGCAAATGATTTGGAGAACCGGAGAACCCGCGGAAAAAAGTGTGAGGAAGACGCCAATCATTCCCACACCTCAGTTCTACCCCTTCAGTCCATTCTGCCCGGTAACCTGCTGCCTTTTGAGCCTTCGCTTCGGGCAAGAAATGATGTTCGGAAATAGTCGACTCTTTCCATACCTCAGCTTTCACTTCAAGTCTATTTTGCCCACTAATGTTTTGCCTTTTTGAGACCTCTTCAAACTGACAAAGCTAGGCTGGCAGATACCTTTGCAACTAGTATATGGATGTCATCCTGACCCTAGATTGCAGTAGCATCCGTTGGGCTTGCAATATTCGGACGCCACTGTCGCATACGCTTTGCAGTGCTTGCGTGGCCCCGGTGCCGAAACTGCCCAAGACAAGGCCCCATCATTTGTTGAGGGAAAAGCCTTGGCGTGGCCATGCCTACCCCTAAGGACTTTGTGAAGCACCGATCCGTTTGCATCGGGTTTGCGCGAGTCGTCCGAGTCGAGCTGTCTCGGGTAGGAGTTTGAGTGCTTGATTTGTTGCACTCAGGTGGTTGCCTCTGACATGCGGAAGCCCAAGAACAGACGCGGTCGTTTTTTTTCTTCCCCGATGCTGCACTGGTTTGACCAGCATATAAGCTTGGCCGACACAGTAGATGCTCATTTGCTGGGGGCTTCCCCTTAAAATTAACCACAAACAAATTGTCAAAATGCAGACGCCCAACCATTCGCGGGTTTCCGGTGCGAAGGCGTTTGTTGGATTGAAAGATTTGCTCGGGTGCAGTCGGGCTCAGCTGATCGCTGTGCTCAGAGCTCGGGACAGCTCGGGGGACCTTTTGGAGTCACGTCGTCCAGACATCCCACAGTCAAGTGGTGTGATGACCAAATGGTTGATTCTGTTAATCATGTCCACCTTGTTGTCCCCCTATACCAATCACTCTTTCAAGTTGACAAACATGACAACACCCGAACCTTGGCCTGCAGGCTCTGACTTTGGCAATTCGGCACAATGGCAGGTCTCGCTGCGAAGTTGCGTTTCATCCCTCTTGCTGGATTTGCCTTACAATTCCCTTGCCAGAGCCAGCCCCTCTAGCTAGTACAGACTATTTCAACGGGGTTAGAGATGCAGGATTGGGCCAGTTTCTCTATCGATGATGTGCAACACCTGGCCGCGGTCCACTGTTTCAATGCCGACGCTTTGAAGGTTTACAGGTTCAATTTCACCTTCAGTTCCTTTGTGGACCTCCGAAGTATTGTGACAACTAGAGTGAGGGATTGTGAAGCGTGTGAAATCAATGGGGTCCCGCACTTAGTGGTGGCCAACTTTCAGGCCGCGTCTTTGGCTTACGAGACTGTCTGGAAGGTGTACAAGTGGGACGGCAGTTCCTGTATGGAGTTGCAAAGCATTGCAACAAGTGGAGCGTGGAATTGGGAAGCGTTTGCCATCGACAGGGTCCAATACCCGGCGGTGGCCAACCGCCGAAGCATGATAGACTACGAAGTAGATTCCAAGATCTACAAGTGGCATGGAAGCTTGTTTGTAGAGTTCCAAAGCATTCCAACCTTTGCCGCTGTTGGATGGTGTGGCTTTGCCTTGAATGGAGTGCAGCACCTGGCCATGGCCAACTGGCGAAACGATGAAGGTGCCGTTGAGATAAACTCCACCATTTACAAATGGAGCGATAGTAGATTGGCCGAGTTGCTGCTTTTTCTATTTTCGCGTGGGAAACGACTACGACTTGCAACTGCGGCTTGGTCAACAAGTACTGACGCCTTGTCCGGGACTGGGAGCCTCTGCTCCGGGCTTCGGGGTTCGGGATTTTTGGGATTACCAGCTTCTTCACTTCACGCCTGGGTTTGAAAAATGCGGAGCTCAACTTAAAAGATTCTTCCCGGAAAATAAATAAATTTGAACATGGGCTTCTTGGCAGTGGAAACGGCACATTGCAATGATTGTGCCACTAGTTACGCCACTTCAGCAGATCGTGGAAGTTTTGCCAGGTAGCATCCTTGGGTCAGTGCTTTCAGCGGTATTCTTGATGGGTGGAATTTGCTTGCCAAAAGGCATTGTTGCAGAACCGCTTTTAGCACTTGTCCGCTCGTGCTGCCTTTCGGATTTCGCCGCTGAGTGGCTTTCAGAGACTGCGATTGGCTTGTATGCCTACCCTAGCTCTCACTGTTTGCGGCAACTTTGTATTTTGCCACCAGAGAAGTCGTGGATTCATCCCGACCCCTCACGGGCATGGCACTTGGGACCGAAAAGGCGTGACCACATTTTAACCTTACACTGACTCTTTCCGTAGCCCGCAAAGAGTGTTTGCGTGTTTTAATGGGTGTAGCTCCACAAAGCATACGCTCCTTCTTGCATATCACGTTTTGTTTGGCAAACAGGGTTCACACATGGCACCCCAGCCTTTCTCATTGACGTGCTTTCCGCTTCGGAATGCGTAGCTATGGCTCTCGCCTTTGCTCGAGGACGGATGGGGAAAGACCTGGGGGGTCAAACAGACACCCGGTTCATTTAAAGGCACCCACTTCGGTGAAGAACACGCCGCCTTTTGAAGGGAATATGACCAAGAAAGGGTCCGCTATTTTTTGACAGCCTTTCTGGGCAATGTGGGATCTCTTTTGAACAGCACATTCATTTTCAAGATTCGCTAAGGACCGGGTGAGCATAGAACATTTGCGGGGGAAAGCTGAGGGAATGAGAACCGACGATGAAACATACATCAAACCCTATTGGATTTTGAATGAGGGATGTTCCATTTGAAGGAGCCTCATGTGGTCGACTGAACCGTTCGCAAAGCCTTTCGGGTGTTTGAGTCCCAATGTGTCTCCTTGCTTGATGCCTCTAAGCCAAAGTTTCGAGTCCTACCTGGCAATTCACACCCCAGACCTGCGGTGCGTTTTTCAACTTGGGAGAGGTTCGCCTTGTGGGCCATGGCCGCGGGAGCTCAGTTTCGGCAACCGCCTCATCATGGTGGCACCGTCTTTGGGCTTTGTGGTTGGGCAAAAGCTCGGCCCAAGCCGAACGTTTCCTTTCTTGGTGGTTCCCAGCCATCCGGTTCCTTAGCCTTTTGGCCTTTTCGTGTCTCGTGGTTGGATTTCCATTTAACCCCACTAAATGTTATTCACTTTTAGCGGGGGATCTGAGGAGAGCCCAGTTTTCCGAGATCTTCCAGTAGCATAGCTTCTGCAAAAGCCAACAAAAGCTGCGTCCGGACTTCCTGTCGACAGACTCAGCCAACCTGTCGGTTGCGTCGCGGCGTGGATGACAACTCAGCGGCCCTGGCGGGGCCGAGCTGAGAATTGAGTCACACGAACTCCCGGAACACCATGAAGCGATGATATGCGCAACTGACAAGCAGTAACTGGCAGTCTACTGCTTGGAAGACAACCAATTTCCCCACAAGAACCAGGCCTCCGCAATTTCCCATGTTTGCCAAGTTTTTGTGTGTTTTCCTTCCGCCTGTTTTGTCAGTTCACTTGCATTCTAGCCGCTCAGCTGCTGAGAGTCCCAGTTGTTTTTGTTTTTTGTTGCTTCATGACCGGCGACCGGCTCAGCTATTCCAAGGCTTTATTGTTACTGGCATGTGTTCTGAGTATTAGTGTCAGTTTTTGTTTGCGTGCTTGCTTGTCTTGTTTATGTGCTAGCTTGTTGGGAAGAGCTGGGCGAAGCCTTTGGCATCTTCGGCGCCAGGCCAGATGATCCCTTGCCGCTGCCGAGCGGTGGCGAGCCTGAGCCCGGAATCCAAGAGGTGGCGGCTGGGTCGGATTGCTGGTGATCAGTTTCTGACTTTCTTCCTTCATGTGGCTGTGGGTTAAAAATATGTACCCAAAATGGTGGTAATTGGAAACGTGGGCTGAAATCTGCAGTCCATTATCCTGGGCGTTTAAGTTTGACCCATGCCCATGTCTTGTGAGCTGCAAGTAAAGATGCAATTAAAAATCGATCGGTGAAACGCACATTTACCACCAAACTCTCAGCATTGTTGCTGTTGGGAACATTTTACACTTTTGCTTATTGTGGTTTAGTGGTTGAAATTCCCACTTAACTGCTAAAATTTAAATTGTTGCTCCCCTTCCAACTTCAACCAAATCATTTGCAAGTGTATATTTATTGTCTTCTGCTGCTGCTGCTGCTGCACCAACTGCTTCTGTTCCCCTTTGGGTCCGTCCACATTGAGGTGAGACACTTCTGACTCTCTGATCCTGGTTGTGCTTCTGATCTAGAAAATTGACTTGGCTGATTCATCTTCTGAGCTGACACTCCATTGACCGTGAGCATCATCTTCTCCGCTGAGCGATTTGCAAGATCATCACTACAGCATTGCTATGCAATGTGTCCCTTCCAGCAAACACACCGGCTTGGCTGCCTTTACCAGCCTGTTGGGTGAAAACTGCCCTGCTGGTGGTAGAAGTGTTGTAGATGTGGTCTTTCTAGGGTTTTGCAGTTTCATATGGCCCCTTGCATCGGCCCTAAGGAATGGCCTGCAGTTAGCTTCCACTTGCTGAAATGAATATGTTGTGTGTTCCCCTGTTGGTTTGAAAGGGGATCTATCACTACTGGGCAGATGCTTTCTTCTTTCCAGGCGGCGTATTCTGCGGGATATAAAAGGGGCAACTTCCGTTTCCCACCTAGGAATGCAAGCCACGGAAAGTTTGGTTGGATGGGAATATGGCCCATTTCTTATTTTGAGACAACTCCAGTTGTGGTTCGCTGTTTAGACACACTAGCAGGTGGGGGAATGCAGATGACACAACTCCCACATGTTGGTCATTTACTTGCCCACATCTACCGTGGATTGTACCATGTACGTGTGTGTGCGTGTCGTTGTTTGTACCGTTTTAAGGGAAACCAAAGGACATAAATCCAGTTTGGCGGTCCCCCCTTGTATGACGGACACTTAAGGTCTATTTTGCAACATCCTTCATTTAGGGTATTGGTTTTGTAGGGTTCCTGGCTGCAGCACATGCTCTAAGTGTCCATGTCACTCTGCCCCCTTCCCCCCCCCCCCAAAAAAAAAGAAGAGAACGAACACAAAACAACAAAAACAAAAAAACAACAAGTAACAGAAACAAAGCAACAGAAACAAAACAACGCAAAACAACGCAACACCACACAAAACCACAAAACAAATAACAATCAATCAAATGAGACACAGGTACGTGGCCTCCGCGGGTGAGGCTTCGGGGTCTTTCCTTTGGCACCTCGGAGGCGAGAGGGGCTTTGCGGGTTGACTTCCCGAAAATCCGTGTCGGAGCTTTCACTTTTCTTGGCATTTGGACCGGAGTGTGAAACAGAAACATGTAGGAAGTGAGCTGGGTTTCCATTTTTAGTGGGTGTTTGGAATTGTGTCATCTTGTTCTACTGGGGTGGTTTACTCTTTTGAACTTGTATGGAATGGGGGTTCCCTGTACAAAGGGTTTTAACTCATTTGTGTTCAAGGGTTTCCCGGCTTCTTCAGCTATGGAGTCTTTTCGCGCTGAGGAGGCCACCTCTGGGGTGGTTTCAAGCATCATGTTGACATGCTTGCCCACTTTAGGTGAACTTCCCTTGGTAAGTGTGATGTCCCGCAGGGAAACATAGGACGCCGATTTTGATGGGTTCCCTTCGTCAGGCAGTATGTATCCTTGTTTCAACTTGTGCTTCGGGTGTTGTTCAGTCGTCCATCTGGTTCAGGGTGTGTTTCCCCTTCGTGGGTGTTTCTCTTTTTTCCAAGGTGTTTGGGTGGATTTATCACGCTTGTTTCCAGGGTCTCCAACTGTTTTGGTCGGGTTTATCATATCTTGCGTGTGTTCCACTCGGCGTCCAGATCAACCCACCAAAAAGAGGGGTGTTCCTTATACCTGCTAGAGGTCACTGCACATAGGACAGGGTTGTTGATTACGTGGCGCCAAACTTGAACGTTTGACGCGGTTCCCAGCCATACGTTTCCTGAAGCCTTCAGCTTTTTCAGAGCTGAATGTCTGACATATTCCACTAAAGGTTTAATTTTTGGCAAGGGATCAATAGACCACCAAAAGAATTGCGCTTCCTTTCCCCTATTTGTCGAGGGCATAGACTTCTCTTTTAGAGACCTTGCAAAGTAAACTCGTGTGAGTGTACCCAATGTCAAATCGTTCACAACAATTGGCAGTGAATAGCCTGGACCTTCAGAGGCCCGGTGGTTGCCTCACAGTAACCAACATGTCCCACACATGTTCGGATCAAAGGGATTTTTAGCCACTCTTCAGCGGCCACCTTTTTCTGCAACATAGCTTGATTGATTTTGACCTATTTGAGCTTTTCGTGTCACCTCTGTTGCCCTGACTTTTTTCTTTGAAGCGGCTTTGGGCCCCCCGATTTCCACCATTGCCATAGGAGGAGATCCGGGGCTTCTTCGAAGGCTTCCACTTGGCTTCGGGGCCTCAGGGCGACGTAGAGCTCATCTGGAGCGGCTCTCCGAACGGGTTCCGGGGGTTCCGGCCGCGGAGGGTGGATGGATGCCCTTGGGTTTTGGAGTGAATCAACCAAACACCTGGTTGAACTTGCAGGGTTTGGCTTGTTGTGTTCAGTCAACGAAAAGCCATGGTTGAGTTTGCGGGTTTGTTTTAAGTTGCCTACTTGCGATCTTGCGTTGGCATCCGTAGCACCCTCCCACGCCTCAAAGCAGTCAGAGGGTTGCGGGAGACACGTCCGCGTGATTGGCATCCCGTGAGCCGGGGCCTGTGGACCGAGCCTTTGAGGCCTTGAGTTAGGAGATACCTACAGCCCCAGCTTCGCTCGGTCCGTGACAAAACGAGGCCCTTGGTTCTCTGATGCTTCCAGGTTCCAAAACTCCAAACTCGTCAGCTCAACGGAACCACCAGACAGCTCAGCCCCTTAGTGGACCCAAAAGGTACTCCGGTCGCCGAATCGAAGGAGTCAGCCGGATGACCGTCCCAGCGGCCACGCCTGGGTCTACTTCACCGACTGGGAGGAGCCCTATCTGGTGGCCGCGGATCGCGTTTGCGTGGAGGAATAAACGTTGCTCACCCTTTGTTGCCGAGTGGGTTGCTTCCTTTTTTTCAACTTTGTTTGGGTAAGGGTTCCCCTTTAAACTCAACCAACACGAAAAGGGCGCCTTTTTTTTCCTCCCAGGGCCACTGGGCATCTGAGTACCCACTTAGCAAGCGGTTGCTTAAAATGACGTGGTTCAAATGTTAGCAAACGGTTGCGTAAAATGAGTGTGTTTTCCAGTCAAGCTTAGATCGCATAGCTTGGCCGATGATAAGCCGGGAATGAGTAGACACCTCTGTGGATTCGAGCTGGGCTTACCGGAAGCTAAAACTCGGGGGCCAAATTAATTTGTAAATGGGGTAAACCCAGCAAGTTCCAATTTTGGATGTGAACATTATTCCCAAACAGCGTCCAAGTGGAGGCCTTGGTAGAAAGAAGGACCAACCCATGCGGGTGCAAATCTGTACCCTCCCTGAAGCTGACTTCCGATTGTGGGAAAAACGAATTACTTTCCTTTGGACCTCCCAATCGTCCGCTTCCATTGGACAGAGGGTGAGAGTCAGTAAGCCCATGGGGCGAAATACCATCAACGGGGATTTCCCGCTGAACCGGTGTGCATCCTGCTTGTTAGGGGAACAGTGGGTTGTTCTTTCAGTTTTCCTTTAAACCAACCCCTAAAACGTCACCAGCTCAACCAAAGACGAGCCCTCCCTACTGTGTGTTGCTCGTGTTTATTTGTCATGTTGATCTATGTTGATCCCGCTCTCAGGCTGCATTGGTTGCATGGTTGAGTCCTTACCAATGACACGCGACGGTTGATTGCACAGAGCTTCACTGGGAAAAGCCACTGACATGTTTAGACCCAACATTTCGCGATTGCAAATCTTTGGAACTCAGCTTAAACCAGGAATTGCGAATCTGAATCTGAAAGTTGGCTAGCTTTCAGGGCGGGTTCCAGGAGGTTCCGTTGTTGGCGATACCTAGGCTTGTTGTTTAGTGGTGACTGGAACACAATCGTTCAAACCTGCAAACTATCGGTTTTGAATCAACTAAGGCAAAGTGGGCTATTTCTTCTGCGTCCGATCGCATGTTGAACTGCTTGAACTCTCCCCATCGTTTTCTTCAAGCGGTCCCCTATCAGCACCACCCAACGTGTCTCGTCTCATGTTCAACCAGGGGCATGCGTATGTGCCTTCGGGGAAGGACAAAACGTTTCGGTTTCAGGCCATGTTTTGGCCAGACATGACTTTTGCCTGTCAGCTGCAAGGAGGCTTGCAGAGCAAGGCGCGAGAAGCAGCGAGCCTATATAGGTGCCCTGGAGACAAGAGATGTCCGAGTCCCCAATACTGTGGATGGACAAAATCCGCTCGCACCACCTAAGCAACCATGGTTGAAACCATTCTTGGTTGGTATTTACATGATAATTGAATCATTCCAGGGTTTTGTAGGTGGTGCAACATGGATTTCGTCCCAAGGGGCCTCCCCCTCTTCCGGTTTCCTCCCAAGCAGGGAGGGCCTTATTTGGATGCCAGTATTCTTCCAACCGTGGAAGTGGACAACGGACAAGGGGGCCATTGGTCCATAGTCCCTTTGCTGGGATCGGATCCAAATAGATGTGTGGCGCCCTTTTGATGTCACGGTAAAGAAGCAACACGTCAAAAGTCGGCTTCTCCATTTGGCGACATGCTTATTTTCATCAAGGGGCAAGCTCCGTTAGTAAAATGCCCAAGCTGTCACCGGGATTCCGTTGATACTTCACGTCCCAAGGTTCACCAAGTAGGGGGCCAGAATCACACATGCCCATCTTGGTTAGGAAGCACAGCTGAGGCAGATTACATCTTTGTTCCTGAGCGCATGCTTGCCTCGGCTGCCGAGGCAATCGGTGGATCGAGATCTATGTGGACTGGTCGCCGGATTGGTGGGAGGAATGAGTCGAGTTGAGACGACCGGCTCAGCTCAAGGGTTCCCTAGATGTCCCCTTTCTCACGTCAATGAAAGAAACTTACACTTTTTCTCAACCGAAAGGAGATGTTTAAGCCAACCCAAAGAAGACACAGTGGGGACCCGGAGGTTGTCACAGACGCGACAAAAAGTCGCGAAAAGGCCAGAGGCCCAGAAGTCTTTGTCCCGGAAACTCGGCCGAAGGCGGGCTTCAAGGGCTCATGTCGTGTGAGGGTGGACCCCAGTCTGAGCCCAAAACTAACTTCTTCACCTTTGGGAGCTGTTCAACTCAAAGCAAAACAAAATGAACTTTCGAGTTCCTAGGCGGTGCTGACCCAGTCACCGTAGGGTTGCGCACTAGTAGTGGGGTTGTGGGGTGCTACAAAAGTCATGATCATGAGAGGATAGTATATGTGTCTAATGTTTGTTGCCTCTTATACTGCCATTGTGTTGTGTGTGTGTGTGTGTTTGTTTTAGGGCAACCTTTTCAGGTTGGTTAAAAGGGAATCCCAATGGGCCACTGGAGAAAAAGAACACCCAATTTGGGGGTTATTGCTTGGGGCCATGAGGAATACACCCTCCGTACACGGCATTTGGAAAGCCAGAGAGATGCGAGAGAAACCAAGCGGCCGCTTGCAGACAGGCGTCACTCTGCGAGCAAATCACAATCTTATACAGACAAAACTAGTTGACAGCATCACCAGTACTACAGCAAGACATCAAAGAACAACAAACCAATGCTAGCCCAATTTGGCAGAATGTATGGGGAGACCTCAAGTGCTCGGTTGAATGCTTTGGTTATAGGAGAACACGCGTAAAGCTTCTCTCTTTTTCTTTGGGCGGGAGTCCCTTGACATCAACTCCCACACATGTGCTGCTGATGGACGAAATCCTGCACGACCAAAGCATGCAATGATTCGCTTTCCCGGCAAATACCAACCCACCATGGTTTCCCTTGTTTTCAACGTGGTTTCCCCTTTTTTTAAAAAGTAGGCAAATTCCCCCCCCCCCCCCACGCCATCCCACGCCATCCCACGCCATCCCCCCCCAAAGCCCAAGGCTCGGGGCTTCCGACGGTGGTGGTTCCAAGGCAGAGGAAGCTGCTGCAGTTCCGCAAGGTCCAGGCGGAGGCGGAGATCTTCCACCTCTGCGCCGGGTCCTCGGGCCCTCGACCGAGAGTCGGGAGAGTCGGGTTGTAGGCGACCGGATCAGCGTCCCCTTTGTGGGCCGCGAGCCGTTTTTTTTGTTTTGTTTTTTGTTTTTTTCTTTGTGGGTATCCAGTTTTGCAGGTTTATTGCAAGGACATGAATAGTTTTTTGGGGCTGGTTCAAAAGGACCACTTTGAGGAGACAAATCGCAGGATATGATTTATTTGAGGCGGGCCCATGACCTCTAGCGGGTTGCTTCCTTTGTTCCTTTTGTTTGGAGGGAGGCCAGACCCAACACACTGGTGTCGAGTGTCCATGTCCTTTTGGGCAGAATTGGAACTTCAACTGGAAAAAATGCACCCCTGTTTGATCCATTCCCACAAAAAGAACAACAAAACACTGAACAACGTTCAATGAAGAAATTCGTGGTGATCCAGTTGGGGTCCTGAGGGCCAAAGGAAACTGTTCCGGGAACTCGAAGCCGGGAATCCCCTCAGAACCCGCATCCTTTATGAGGGATGTATGAAGCGATTCAACAAGCACAGAGGATGGGAGCCACTTGCTTAAGACCTGGGTAGATGAAGGCTAAGGGGCAATCCCAACCATACACGGGTGCAGCCTCCTTTTGATTCCTTACCTGGTTCTGGGTAGGCCATTTTAATACCAGGTTTTGATTCTGACTCATGTGTCATCTTGCCATTACAATTTGTTAACATGATATTTGGAGTCTCCTTCAAAAGTACTGCAAGGACCAAATCCTGCACCAGTTCGTAGGTGGCTTACTTCTGTCAGTGTCTACAGGGCTGTATTCATCCCAAGCGGTGCGAGGTGTGGATGCTGTCCATCCACAGAATGTTGGAATCTCCTTTTGGAGGAACCGTTTGATTTGCAGGGGAGTAGTATATGTGGTTGGCTAAATATGACACTGAATCCGGTCCTTTCGGCGTGTCTGTTTTTTAAGGTTGGACCCCCCAAAAGGATGGGTTTCCTTGTGGTGTCCCTTCAAACACCACTCAAAATGGAACACCCTCAAAAAGAGACAGACCCATATGATGCTTGGCGTGGGGTTGGGCCACTGCATCTCTTTTGGGGAGGAAATTGCTTGGGATGCCCTGGTTTCCCTTCAGGGATCCTTCTACTCGAAAAATCGGTAAACACTGAACCACATAATGGCAAGCTATCCTCTTTCCAAACAGTCGTGAAAGTGGACAAGGGGGCCTTTGTTGGATGATTTGAAACCCAACTTCAGATTATATGTTGAATTCCCCTACAGGTTTCTGTCATGCTTAGACAACAGGTGTCCGGCTCACAAAAAGGCATCCACTTTTCACATCCCAACCAAGCTTGCCTGGTTTCATTCTCTCCAAGCCCGCGCGCGCTCAAAGCGAATCGCTGAGAACCCAAGCCCCGAGCCGCCGAGCCCCCCGCTGAGTTGAAGACTGGGGATTGGATCGACTGCTTGGTGCTCCATGCTGGGCTTTGGCTTTGGCGCAGAGGTGTCGCGGAGTCGCCGGGGCCCCGCAGGGCTTTGGGGGGCGTGGTTTGGATGAGTTGGGGGAGTTGGGGTGGAGGGGTTTTCGGGGATCTTTGTTGAACTTATTTCGCACTTCAAGGTTCGCGAAAGCGCTGCTGGATGAACTGCATGCTGATAATGCTGGGGTGTGGGGCTCGGGCCAAAATTGTTGCCAAATCACCATGCTGGGCAATTGTGTGCATTTTGCCAGGCAATGTTGCGGGCTCGCTTCTCCTAATGCTTTCTTTCTGGCCTGATGATTGCTTGCTTTCTTTCTTGATTGCTTTCGTCCCCCCCTCGTCGCTCAAGTGTAGTGGCTTCACTCGATACCGTCCACCAGAGGGTTCCCTGCTGCCTTTCAGGTCACTGAACCGGGATCTTGGATGGTTCGGCATGGGAATCGAATCAACCCCTGAGAGGCCCGCGCTACGCCTTAACCCAGCGAGCCAAAGCACACAAGGCCGGCCTTGTTTTGACCAACTGATTCTTTATGGGGGTGTCTGTTTGATGGTTCTCTTTGCAGGCTGGCTGCCGCAAATGTTGAGCAAGTGATGTTGAACTTGGTGGCCCTTTCACACATGGTCAAACCACCTTATGGGGTTGCCATGGACTTCGCGTGCCGCAAGTCGCTGACCGCAGCCAGAGGCATAGTTGATGATGGCGTGTACCTCCGCACCGCGACGCTCTCATTCATCGCCGGCCAAGTAAAGCGGATACGTGGCTCAACATCTGCGGCGCGGGTGAATGATGAACTGAGAAAGCTCAGCTACGTTGCGGACGTGTAACCTTCACACAAGTGGTCGGAGGTCAACCTCGTATCTTGACTTCTAGGCCGAGCTTCGCGGTCGCAGGCGGCTGGGCCAACAAGTCGCAGGCGGCTGGGCCAAGAAGTCGCAGGTGACAAGGCGCAATGAGGTGAGAGTCACCAAATTGGAGCTCCACACTCAAAGGTATATGCCTGTCGCCTTTGTTGCGTGTGTATATGCATAATATCTATAATATATATATATATACACAATGATGCGGTGACAGACATATAGCTTCAAAACGTCCCTTTTCAGGTCGGTTCTGGGCTTCTTTGTGACTAAGGACCAACCATGAATCACCAAACCAAGAAACATGAAGCGACCAATTTGGGTTGGAAGAAGGGGCTCATCTGGCTGGTGCGATAGGCAGGAATGATTTAAGAAAGTCATCCAACTGGCGGTTTCCTTCAAAAGGCAATCCCGAACGGTTCATTCAAAACCTTGCCAGTGCTCAGTAGCTAATGACCTTCCAGATGTTAGGAATGAACTTAGTGTTCCCCTTAAACAAAACTACCATTTTTTATTTTTTATTTTAATTATTTTTCCCGGGTCTCCTAGCTGTCGCACCGACAAGTCACAGCTCAGGATCGCCCAGAAGCAGACGGAGGCCTTGCGGCGCTCCCGGGAGTACCAGGCGCTGTTCCTGGTAGCGCAAATTGGCGGATTCTGAGGACATGGTCGCCAAACTTGGGGAGGGGGGGGGGAGGAACTAAAATGGCATTTGTCGTGTTGATGTCCGTCGAAACTCCAAACTTGAGGGACCTCTCTTTTTTTCCAAGTTCTTGGCAGCGCGGTGGCGGATTCTGACCTGGATCGCCAGTTGCTGCTTTATTCCATGCACTTTACCCCAAAAACTAGCAACAGTGTCTGAAAAAAGCAGCAACTTGGCTATCTAGGGAGGACATGGGTCGCCAAAATTGGGGTGGGTGGGGGGGGGGGGGTGTAACTAAAATGGCCTTCCTAGATAGCCGAGTTGCAGCTTTCTTTTTTCAGTCACCGTTGCTGGTTTTTGGGGTAAAGTGGATGGAAAAACACAGCAACTGGCGATCCAGGTTTGTCATGTTGATGTCCGCTGAAACTCCAAGGATTGGGACCATTTGGCAAGCATGTTGTGTTCCAACAAGGGGCGCCCAAGCAGAAACACGGACACAGCCAATGCTCATTTTGCGGCAATACCGATTCATTTGGCCGCCACCCTTTGGTGTCTCTTCAATTTGATTTGACACCTTCAAAAGGAGATGGTTGCGTGAATAAAGGCCAAAACGGGCCTGGATGTTGAAGCAATGCTTGCCCAAGCTGAATGCAACTAGGTATTCAGCAAAGGAAACCAGCTGGAAGCCCTATCATGTACTCAGCCTTCCAGGGTTTTGTGGTTGGATGCAGTTGGATTACCTGGAGTCTGATCCAAGCTGAGTTCTATTTTATGGTGGGCTAAATATGACACAGCATTTGAACAGGTGCTTTCCGGTGTGATACAAAGAGGCTGGTGAATTACAAACAGGATACTCTCCCCTCATGAGGTGACTGGGTGTGTTTGTGCCGCACAAGCGCCCTCGACTTGTTTGGGTCCCAGTACCCTCCCACAAACAAACATGGAGCCTCTGCTGCCCCCTTGAAAGGATAATGGTCGTTGTGTTGCTGGGAGCATCCCGCAGGCCGGGGCCGAGTCATCCCAGAAGCGAACGGGCCGAAGAGATCCGCAGCGCCCGGCTGTGGCGGTCGCCGGCCAGGTGAGGCACCGGCGGTACTTGCAAGTCACCGAGCGGGCTGGGGCGCCCAAGCGAACGTCAGGGCGTCAGGGCGTCAGAATTCCCTAGATTTCCCCTTAAGGTGGGTTCTAAACATGGATGTTGTTGGCGAAGCATTGAGCCAACCATGGCACTGCTTCGCGCCGTTCCTGACGGATGACTGCCCATTGGCAGTTTTTTGGTGGGTCGTTACATGGAGTGAGGCGCTTATAGCTGTTCAAGCAACAATTGTATAGCCATACCAGACCACAAGGGTAGAAACTTGGCTCCTTTTCGTTTTCCCGGGACCAAATGTCCGCCTTCCGCTCGGTCTTAGGCGGCTCACCTGGGGAAGTACAACTTACGGACCATGGTGCACATCTACCTTCACTGTTCTTTGCATGCTTTTAGTTGTTTTAGGTCTTTGGTTCGGTGCGTTGTTAGCGGGCTGCGAAAAACGGAGCTTGTTGCTACCAAGGTTTGGGAAGCTAGCCGTGGTGATTTTTTGCGCCCAAGCTGTCAGCGGCTTAGGGTAGCCATTTGTGAAGGTAAAGGGAGAGCCAGGCATTCGACATCCAAGCACAACTCCGTGGCAAAATATGGGGGGAGAGCGTAAAACCACCATTTTGGGGGTCTTCTGAAGAAAGACACCCACATGTAAATCCTAAGAGACCCGCCAAATCCAGTTTTGTGGGTCTCCATTTGGCGCCTCAAGTTTCCCCATGCCTTACTCGTGAAGTTGGCAAACTCGCAACTGTTTGCTGTGTGTGCTTCTCCATTGGGAAAAAAAGGAGAACTTCTCGGGGGTCCCCATGACTTCAGCGCAGTATGGCCGGTAGGCTGACCATGTCGGGTGCCCCTTACCGCAATGCTGAGCGGCAATGCTATGTGTGTTGTTCTTTGGCTGAGGTGAAAACCAAGGTGGGCGGCGATGTGAGCAACTTGGCCTTCACTCATGCCTTGCCCTCAGAGTGGAATGTCGGCTGGACAGCCGTCCAAGCTGTCTCCCCTGCCAAAAGAAATGCATCCCGGTGGGCGGCCCCTTCTGCCAACAAGCTGGTGCTCATGTTTTGGATCGGGTTGCCCTTTGAGAGAAGAAGCACCAACAAATGTGAAGGGGAATGCCTTCTTTGTACACATGCAAAGTAAGTGGGAAAGGCTTCAGTTTGGAGGTACACCAGCCTTCCATAACCTAGGGGTTGGGGGCCCTGCTTTTCCAACACCCCCTGCTTGTGGCACAGTTCGGGGGTCAACAAAAGTGCCCGGGGTACAGGGTCCACGCGGGGCCCTACTCTTTCAACCCGCTGACCCTGGGGAATTTTGAACACGAGAACTCAACTAGCCACACCCCCCCAAAATCACGTACCCCCCTAAGGGATTGCATCCAAACATGTTCTTTTGGTTTCCCTTTCAATACCGGTCAAGGGGTCAAATATTTGGAGAACGTGCCAGAAAGGTCGCTATGAGGCTTCCACCTAGTTGGGGGTGGAAACCATCCTATGGCGAACTAATCCCAGTGGATCGCAGGCAAGCCATTATAGTAGGTACCAGCAAAATGTCCTTTTAGTTGTCAAAGGGTGGCAAGCCCTTGGTTGCCTGAATTACCAAAAGTGTCTTACTCCCTGAGTTTCTGGACTTTTGGGAAGACCACTTGAGTGGTAAACACATAGTTTGGCTCCTTTTCGTGGTCGTCCATTTAGGAAGTGAGGTGTTCTCCTAGAATCAACTCATGCCCTAACACACGATGCCATAGTACCCGCTTCGAACGCAGTGTCTCTCAGGTCTGCCTGGGCGCCTGGTCGATCATCTCGGCCCTCTCCAATGCCCGCCGGGTCAGCGAATCTGCCGCTGGCATCAACAAAAGACCGGAGAATTGCTGAATGACCTCGGTAGACTTTTGGTCGTTCAGGTGTCCCTATGCGTTTTGTTGTCTGGGGGTATCATCGTTGAGATTGGTTTAAAGGGTCACCCCCGGGGAACACACTTTTTGGGGTGCCCTTGTTTAAACACACACACCCATATTAGGTGTGTCTTTAAATTTCAATTGATCTTTACCAAACACAAAACCAAAGAAGCGGTGTTCGTGTGGTTCTCCTGAAAATAAGGGTCAACACAAAGAGCCGCCAGTTTTGTTTGTTTGCAGCCGCCTTTGTTTTCCTTTGTTTGTTTGTTTGTTTGTTGTTTGTTTTGTTTCTTTTCCTCGGCTTCCCGTTTTCTCCAGCCGCCTCCATGTGCCAGAGCAGCCGAATGCTTTTCCACGAGGCCTGCCGCCACGCGGTGGCGCGGCGCTCCCATGCGCGCCAGGGGTTGGCCAAGACGCAGGACCGGAGGAATCCTTCAACCCGGGTGAGTGAAATTTAGTAAGGGACACTCCCGACCAGTCATGGTTGTTGTTGGGAAACATTTCCCATTCTTGCTTATTGTGGGTTTGGTGGGAAATCCCCACTCAACTGCTAAAGTTTAAATTTTAGCTCCCCTTCCAACGTCAGCCAAGCAGTAGGTGCAGATGTCCGCTTTAGTTCTTTACATGGCTCTGGGCAGATGATTTGATACCAGGTGTTGTTTGTGACTCAGTTATTTTTTTTGGGCGGGGTTTCTATCCATTTCTTGGGGATTCTGCCACTGTCTGGTGAACATGATTGGCAATCTCACGAGTTCCGTTTTGGAGTTTGGTCACTTTATGGGAAGGCCACATCAGTGGTAAACAAGAAGTTTGGGAGCTTTTCTTGGCGAGTCTCAGGAAGCGTGCAGCTAGGCTTTTCACCTTTCGCCTGTTTGGTGTTCCTCCATTTTCGCTTTCAACCAGCAGAACGTGAGCACTTTTTGCAGGACAACAAGTGGGATCCGTCCGTTTTCCTGGGCTTACGTCCCAAGAGCAATCCAGGGCTGAGCCATCAAAATCCGAAGTGAAGGTTGGACAATTTCCAGAAGTTGGATAGTCCTTTGCATGGTTTTAGTACAAGGTGTTGATTGTCTTTCCTTTGGCCTTCCTAAAAAAAAGAGATAAGTTTGGTGATTACAAGGCAATTATGATTATAACCATTTGTTTTTTCAGGATTCAACCGGCACCTTGAACCTCACTTGTTTGCTCCTTTTTTCCAAACGGTAGGGGGCTTACGGGACGGAGAGGGCTAGATCCTATGAGTAAGCTCGGGTTCTGTGAGCCGCTCCGCAAAGAGAACTTTCCTTCCACTAGCAGAAGGCACCGGTGGAAGGATACCTCCTCTTGAAGGGACCCCCCGTGTCAAACTACCATGTTAGGGAGTGGGAAGAAGGGTAACCAAGAGCGGAACAAGTGTGTTCCGTTTGGTGGCATCCTTTGTGCTTTCAGGGATACATGGTTCAGCAAGTCTTAGCCACCCTGTTTAAGGGACTCTATGTGATAGTTTGTTCATCAGTGAGCTACTGTGCAAAGACGAAATCCAACGCACAGCACCTAAGAAACCATGGTGGACAACATAACGTTTGTTGGTAGGTACAGGGGAATCATCATTCCAGGGTTTCTTAGGTGATGCGAAATGGATGTCGTCCATCTACAGTATGAACCATGACTTGCAGTTTGAATCAAGCTCCCAAATGCAACCGCTGAGAACCAGCCACGAGGATGGAAATCCAGAGGTGCACATCGGGCTACTGTTTTGCAGCTCATGGGGTGTTCTGATTCGTGGATGTGCTTGTTCTCAAATTCTGAACCCTCTTTTGGTTGGCAAATGGATGCGGAGAGGAAACTAACCATAAGGGATCCCTATTTTGAGACACGCCCATGATGTGAATCCAAACAGATGCGCCCTGTGGGTATCCCACATCGGAACTGAGTGAGACAATAGGTGTGCTTCCGTTTGGGGCAACAGTCGGTTGCAGATGTCCGCTTACAGCAATGAACCCTATGTCGCATGAAGCTGATATTCCATTTGCTCAACATGTTCATATTCCTGTAGGTTTAATGGGAATCTATCACTATTGGACTACTGCTGGACATGTTTATTTGTTGCTTGAGAGTACGTGTTGTTTGTTCAAGAAAGCAATGGAAGTGAGGGAGCAGGTGTTAGGGCTAATCAATCATGGAAGTGGAAAGAAGGCAGTTATCATCCTCCAACCCTGCGATGGTCAGCTTCCATGCGAGTTTCGTGCTTCGGTCTGACAGGAGCTTGCAGGGAGTCTGCTGTGCCTTGCCTGAAGTTTGGGGAGCTTCTTGTAGAAGGATTGCTGATATTGCTGCCTTCATCGACTCAGCTCCCCTTCCTCATTCGGCTCGTGGACTTTTTTTTTTACGTGCCAGCTTAGTCACAAGCGACAACACTTTGGTTTTTGGGGAAGGCCAACTAATCCGCTTGGGAAGTGAGTTGCAAGTTCAAGATGTTCGCTTTTGTTTCCCTCTTGGTTTTAAAACGGACATGGTGGTGAGTGGTGTATGAGGTTTCTTGGTGGCATTCTGAGGAAATTTGAGGAATGTCATGCAGTGTTGACCAGTTGAACTTTTGCTTTGGAGTGATTGAGCTGTCAAGTCCGTTCCTGCGCAAACGTGGCAAGATGTGAGACTTCAGGATAGCTTCCTGACTCAAGGGGAATGTACACAACATGACGTCTGTAGAAACTGGAAGTGTGAGTTGATGTCATGTGTCCTCGCAACGTACCAACCATGTGGGAGTCTTGGGTTATCCTTTGGTAGTCTGTCGAAGGTGCCCTCAGCCCTCAATCCCTGCTCCAGCCGCCTTTTGTCTCTGTCCAATCTTTGAGAAATCGAGGGATCCTCGTTAGGGAGAACGTAGCCTGCATTTGGCCGCATGGACCAGGGTTTGTGTTGGATGTGGTTGGTTTCACTTAGAACTGTTTAGGGATTTGGTGGATTCCCAAATATTGCAAGTGAACCCACCACATCCAACCAATGCATGAAGGCAATTGCTGCAAATTAGAGGGCTCCGCTTTGTTCATCTAGATAAGAAACTCCTAAAAGTAGGAAATAAGCGGGCTTGATGAGTTGCCGTTTGGACCGTTTGGACCAGCCCAAAATGGCAGCCCTCGCAAAACAACACCGATTTGGACCATGTGTCAGCTTCCATTGTAGGAAAGAAAGTAACCAGCAATCACTTAAATGTTGCGACCAATTGCTGACCCATTGGTTACACCCCTTTTCGATACAACATGTCGAAGCAAAGGAGCCACGGAGGCTCTCCGTTCAATCGGGCCAACGAACGTCTCTCTCTCTCTCTCTCTCTCGCAGCTGGATGGACAAAGTCTGGAAAGCTGAGCGCTCTGAACGGAGCTTTCGAATCCCAGTGGAACCAACGAACGAACCAAGTTGAACGTATCAAAGCCACTGTGGTGAGATACATAACTTTACAGCCTCCGGCTCAGTCCGCCGACATTGTCCTCTCCCTTTTTTCCTTCTGCCTCTCTCCCTTGTCTCCCTTGTGTGTTCTGTCGTCCTCTCTCCCTCCCTCTGCTCCCCATCCTCCCCATCCCCCCAAGCCTCTCTATGCCCAATCTCCCTCTCTGGTATGTATGTATGCATATATATATATATATGTGTGTGTATGTCTGTCTGTCTGTCTGTCTGTCTGTCTGTCTGTCTGTCTGTCTGTCTGTCTGTCTGTCTGTCTGTCTGTCTGTATGTATGTATGTATGTATGTATGTATGTATGTATGTATGTATGTATGTATGTATGTATGTATGTATGTATGTATGTATGTATGTATGTATGTATGTATGTATGTATGTATGTATGTATGTATGTATGTATGTATGTATGTATGTATGTATGTATGTATGTATGTATGTATGTATGTATGTATGTATGTATGTATGTATGTATGTATGTATGTATGTATGTATGTATGTATGTATGTATGTATGTATGTATGTATGTATGTATGTATGTATGTATGTATGTAATGTATGTATGTATGTATGTATGTATGTATGTATGTATGTATGTATGTATGTATGTATGTATGTATGTATGTATGTATGTATGTATGTATGTATGTATGTATGTATGTATGTATGTATGTATGTATGTATGTATGTATGTATGTAATGTATGTATGTATGTATGTATGTATGTATGTATGTATGTATGTATGTATGTATGTATGTATGTATGTATGTATGTATGTATGTATGTATGTATGTATGTATGTATGTAATGTATGTATGTAATGAATGTAATGTATGAAATGAATGCAATGGATGAATGTATGAAAGACGTCCAAAAACATGGAGTTTGTCCAGATTTTTGGCAAAAGGATGTAGGAAGCCCAAGCCAGCAAAAAAGCCGGCAGGGGGAATCGAGCCTGGGACCCCTGTTTTGCGACACCGGCTCCCCGAAGACTACGTTTAGTGGAACGTCATCAAATTGCCGGTACGCGGGGGAGGGGGGGGGGGGGTGGCGACCGAAAAACCATGCGTATTTGACGTGTCCCGGGGGGGGACTAAGGGGGGGGTTATCCTCTATCCTCTCTTAGGTATCCAACACTCCTCTCTTAGGTATCCGACACGCCGAGCAATGTCGGCGGACATGCAGAGCCACTGTGATTCAGTTCACATGGTTGTTGTTGGGAAGCATTTTGCATTTGTGCTTATTGTGGTTTAGTGGTTGAAATCCAACCACTCAACTGCTAAAATTCAAATTTGAGCTCCCCTTCCAACGTCAGCCAAGTTCAGGTCGCTGTCCTTGCGCAGCAGCGGCGCGAACGGGATCTCCGCCTTCCGCCTGGCGAAGCGTTGCTTCCCCGCGCCCGGGCGCCCGAGTTTGGAACGCGGGCGACAAAGGAAGCCGAAGTGGGTCCCCAAAAGGCGGTGTTCCACTGCAAGTTTGAGGGTTTTCAGGGTTCCATGTGAGGATAAGGGGTTTGGTGCTGGCACTTTTTAGCTTTCCTCCTCAGTGTGCGGACTACTTTTGGAAGACCGTTTGAGTGGCATGCGACAAGTGTGGACGTGTGCTGGCCATGGCTATTACAGGCGTCTGAAAGGCGTTCTGGGGATTGTTACCTTCCAAGACGTTGCTCGAGCAACGTGGGATAAGGGAAGGATACCATTGGCATGTTAGTTGACCCTAAAGCAGAAGACAGGTTGGCGTTGATTGTTTGTGATGCGTTTTGCAAGTGACAAGATGCTAAAAGGTTGCAGGTCCAATCAAAGAAAGAGCCAAGAAGCCAGCCAAGAAAGGGTGGGGAACTGGGCAAATGGGTTGACCCGATCAAAGCGAGGGATGCACGCAAAAGGACCACCTCCGACAAAAAGGATGCGGAGGTTACAAGGATGCTCATGTCCATTTCCATACATTTGCCAACCCCTTTGCCCTTTTATTTTCTTCTGGATGTCCTTGTCATTTGCCAAGTGACACTCTTTTGTCGGAAATAGAGGGTTCCCTGATCGTTGGTTTTTCCAGCAAGAACCGCATCAGTGGCCTTCACGAATCTGATGAGCTAGTGCACGACGAGCTCAATCCCTGCTGGGCTCCACCAGAACTCACCGTCCATGGCAACTTTGTGCCCGGAGTCAAACGGGTGGCTGCGTTGCTTTGCCCGCCGAACGTGTAGGAAAAGCGCCCCCACGATCGCAGTGGTTTGGCGCGCCTGGAAGATAGCGAGCCGAAAGAGCTGCACGACACCGGTTCGTATGCAGACATTACCGGCGAGAGGTCTTTGTGGATTGGTTGACTTAAGGCATGAGAGAAATCCAAGTTTTAAGCCCTCGACAAGTATGAATAAATTATGGCAGTGAGTCTGAATGAATAACTTTCCTCAAGGATCGGCGGTGGACACAAATCCCCATCGAATTGATGTGCACTAAAGCCCCCCCCCCAGCAAAAGTCGCCATGGGTCAAAACCCAAATCGTACCCCCAGTGAACATCCCAATCCAACCACTAAAGTAGGTTCTAACATGGGTGGTGAATTCACCAAATCCAACCAAAATGGGATCCCGAAAGGATTTTGACCCCCAACGGAAACTTCATGGAAAAAAGCGGCCCGACCAGCCGGGCCGCTTCGCTTGAGGTGGCATCGCCAGGCAGTCCTCTCGCTCGGGTCTCGGGTCTCGGGCCTTGGCAAAAGGGGATGCTCTGCAAGTTTTTACATGGGTGTGGCTCAAAGTTAAACAGGGGCAAACCGCAGGTTTTGGTACCCATGTTTCCACTTACCAGGGCAACCCATTTTGGAATTCCGGTTTTTTGAGCCACAGCCACATGGAACCCAAGAAGGGGGTCCCCCAAACGGCGCTTTCTCTGCAAGCCGATGACACTTTTGGAGGGTTCCATGAGTTAGTCTCTAGGGGAGTAAGCCTTTTTTCTAAAGATGCACCAATGACAGGACAGCACGCCACGTGCCATGGGCAGCATGTGGGACGGAGCCTCCTGTCAAGCTTTGGTCATTTCTCAGCATGAGATGCGTTGATATTCTCCTTGGAAATCAGACAGGATTCCCCGACACTTGGTGGCCCTTTGGTGTGATTGCAACCTCTGAGCCTTTTAGGAAAACCTGGAAAACATGGTATTTACACAGAACAAACAACAGAAGCCCAACTTCTCAAAGGTGGTGCGAGATTTTCGCGGATTTCGCGAATCCACGGCAGTTCCCAGTTGAAAACCCAGCCAAACGTATTGACCGAGGGCTGCAAAGCGGCAGCTGCTGCATCGAGAGGCAGCCACGCTGCGGATCGTGGAGGACGAACCGAGCGCGGGCTTCCGGATATTGTTTTTCGCTGAATCGGGGAGAACAACACGGATGTTCTCGCTTCCCGGGTTCCGTTTCGGACATGAGCCACTTTCTGGGTTTCGACCATGTTAGTGGCAAGCACACAACCTCAGACTTTTTCTGATCGTTTTCTCAACCTGGAGTGTCCGTTTCGGTATCCATAAAGAAGGACCCCCCTTTTGGTTTTCCGCAGAACTCCTGGTTTGATTTTGATCCGGAATGTGTCCAATCCCTTGTGGGGATTGAGACCACTTTTGGTCCGGGGGTTCCAATCAAGGGCCTGAGTTTAGGACCCGACGAAGCAGGCAGAGGCTGGTAGGGATAAACCAGCCTGACAAAGCCGGGGATTTTGGTCACAACCGCCGTTCGAAGTGCCAGACTCGGTTCAAAACGCGAAAGAGAGGTTTATTAAGCATGTCGGTTGCATGGCATAAACCTGCTCCGGATTGTTTTGAAGTCGACGGAAGGACAGTATTCATCAGGGGTGGTTCCAGTTTCGAGAAAAGGACACCAAATTGAAGGTTTCCTCTGACTAGGGTCCTCCAGGTCAATCCGAGTTACGAACTTGACATTGCTGCCTCCTGATGTGCGGGGGGATCGGGGGGTTGGGGGGGTTGGGAGATGAATCTCCACCGACTTCTCATTTCCAAAGGGTCTTAAATAGAATAGCTCCGAGGAGCTTCGCCTTGAGAGCACCTGCCATCAACTGCGCTGGGCTGGCTGGGCAGAAGCTCGGCTCATCTCGGCCAGGATTCCAGGTTGACCCGTTTCCATATTTTGGGAGAGGAACCCACTTGTCAACCGAGAAAAGGTCCCCCTTTTCCCCAACTGAGAGGTCTGGGGCTACCCTCAGCTTGGGAAGGGACAGCAGCTTGAAAACTGAAGACCATGTTTTGTGCTCTCCTATTTTGACACATACACCTGATTGATTTGGTAGATGGCACGATTCCCAGTACTGTAGCTGTGGGTCAAAAGGAGTTCCCTTTGTGTGGGGAATTCATAGGGCAATTCTTTGGATTAGTGTCCTCTCTATTGATTGACCCTCAGACTTAAAATCCAAGTCTACGGCTGTCTCTTTACGGGGTGCAAGTTGGTTTTTCTTGGGACTTTTTTTTTGGCTGCACGTTGTTTTTCTTGGGACACCAAAAGGAAACCCCTGCCATTCCTGTGAGTTCCGATTCCTGCGGATGGACGGAATTCATTCGAACCACGTTGAAGCCATCAACAACCCCTGTGTCTCGTTTTTTTTTTTTTTTTTTTTTTTTTTTTTTTTTTTTTTTTTTTTTCGGAATAAGCCCGGGGAATCGAACCATAGGGCTTCTGAGCTTCTGAGCGGTGCGAGATCTGCGGATTTCGCGAAGCCTTCCGCCGCGTTTTGGGACGAACCCCACGCGTCTGCCTTCCAGTCACCGGCGAGTCTGAGGTGCGGGCCAGGATGCGGCACCTTGCCGAGCAGCTGCTGCAGGAGGCATGGCCCAAAGCCGTCGAGTATATGGGATGTTTGGAAGGGCTCTCCAAGTTCTTGGGCCCCTCAAAAACCCTTCTCGACCCGTTGTACACCTACTCAGTTTCCTATGGTCAAGGGAACAGGGCCCCCCGAATCCCAATAATTGGCGCCAACCGACCAAGCATGGCATCTATAGTGCTCATATACCTTGCATACCAAAAGGAACGTAGCGGTTACGAACCCGTCACATACTCATGGCGAGCCCATGCTCCAAATTTGGTGGATGAGAGTCCCTGCCACAGACCACAAAACCATGGCTAAATTACGGGAAATGTCTGAAAGTTCCGAATGTCGCCTAACTTGCAATACTGTGGATGCACGACGTGGATTGCGGAGCACCTAAGAAACCCTGATAGTTGAAATGGTCGGTATTTGCAGAGGAACACTCATTCAGGATTTTGTCCATCCACAGTACGGCCGGGGCATCCACCGTGCCTTGGTACCCCTTCGAGAGGAAAACGGCTCGCGGACGCGACCTCAGGTCTTGCTGCTTTGGCGCCCGGGTGCCCAGACTGGCCTCGAGATTCACCATTCCGCATTCGGTGTTTCATGGCTTCCTCTTGTGTCACTCACTTCCTGAGTTCCTGGACTTTAGAGCCACGTTTGTGGGTTTCGGCTATTTTGATGGTACACAAAAATAGATCAGCTTTTGTTTCGGGCCATCCACTCAGGAAGTGAGGTCAACAGGCTTTTTTTGGGTGTTAGATTGTTCTTTGCGCGAAGTTGACAATGCTGGAGGGCTGGGGAGCACAAAATCCCGTGTGTTCAACATGTTGTAAAGAGCTTCCTTTACTTGAAGCTGATCAGAATGTCAAGTTTGGTTCACTGTCAAGAGCTTGAGAGCAACAAATCTACAGGATTGCAAGGATGTCCCTTCTTATGAACATGTATACCTTACCCTCGGAGCGACCCCTTGAGGGGTAGTTGCAACAGCTACCGCTCCAACCCTGCATTTTCCCGTTAGTCTGTCTGATTTCCCTTTAAGTGAATCTTAGACCACCCACAATCTAAGACACCATCAAGCCCGGAGATTCTCCAAGAAGGAATCGCCCCAATCTTGGGTTTTTCTGCCAATTTCCCGGCTGTCCTGATAGTTTCAGAGCGAACACCCGGCACCGCTATCCATCCCATGGACTCCAAGGCGACGCCGCGGCGGTGGGCTCCAACACCGGCGGCACGCGCACCCGGCGCCTCGCGGCGGCGCAGGCGAAACGGGGCGAATGAGTGGAGTTTCATCCGGCAACTTGCCTTCGTTTGGCTAAAGCGGTCATAAACATCCTACATGGATTTGGTTTACTTGGCACACACCAGGATTTCCTCCTCAAAAGTTGCCGGGTTGCTGGCAACTTCCAGGAAAATTGCAACGTGTCCATCTCCGAAAAGTGAAACCGCGGGGCCCTTGCACACATACCGATTTATCGGCAATCCATTCTGTGGCCGTGCCCATAGGCGAAACGAAGTTGCTGATGTTGGTCTTGTGTTGGTTCTTGTTTGTGATTGTGTTGCTTTCTATTGTTGGTTTGGGTATGTGTCAAAATGGGGGGGGGGCAAAATGTTGATGTTCCTTACTGTTTTTTTGCGACTGGGGTATGTTTTGTTGGAGTTTGTTTGGCTATTTGGGTTACAGCCACTTGTTGGCGAAATAAAACAGCTCGGAATGGGTTGAATGTCCAACAAACGGATGGTGTCGCTCGGGAAAGCAAAAGGAGAATCACCATTTGATGGTACCTTTAGAAACAGAGCAAAGTGCTGATGGGTGCCCTTGGATCAGAGCCTTAGGCCAGCGACATAGCCTGCGATCGCTGGCCTGGGTTGAAAACCCCTAGGCCACTTTTTCTTGGGTCAGTTTCATTACAAATGGATGGGCTTGTCTCATGCGGGTAGCTCCGGACTGGGTGGTTTCCCTTTGGTTTCCCTTTCAAACAAACTTCGAAAGGCTGTCTGAAAGGAAAGTTTGGCTGCCGTTTGTTGGTTGATATGAGCAATGGTGATTGGCAATATATTGTTTGTTTTGTAGTAGTTGTATTTGTTGTGCTTTCTGGTTCGAGGGTTTGCTGTTGTTGGTTTCAGTTTTAAGCGGTGTTGTTGGTTTCGAAGGGGCATGCTTTACATGCAGAGTTGCCTTTTTGCTTGCTCGCATCACATCCATTTCTTCGCAGCTTTCTGAGGGTTGCTTGAAATTTGAAGGGAATGCCTATATTCATTGGCATAGAAATCCATTTCTCAGCCCTTACTTTGTTTGGGTGTTTTTCAAATACGGGTCCAGTTCCACCAGTGAAACTCCAATTTCGCACCAAACGCCTCTCCCACAGGTGTTTGACAAGAGCGGCCTGCATCTCTTCTTCAGCGCAGGAAGCCCCAGCTCGATTTGCTCTTCGGCCAGTCATTTTTTGGTGACATGGATGTGTTTGGTTCTTTCGTTTTGTTCTGTTCTGTTCTCTTCTGTTGTGTGTTGATTTGTTTTTGTTTGAATGTTTAACTGTTCTTCCTATGCCGTTTCTTCCCGGGCGTTTTTTCATGATGCTCCTGCTGCCTCTTGAATCGAGTTTGAAGTCGTTTCTCGGTCGCTTTCTGCCCGAAATCACCTGAGTCACCATCAAAACCGGGTATTCGAGTGGTCTACCCAACTCCTTGTAAAGAATCAACAGGGCTGCAGCTATTGATGACTGGGACTGGCTCTTGCTAACCTTTACTTACCCGGGTTTGATTGTGACTCACCTTTTGACCTAAGCTTTCGGAACATGAACATCCTCCCCTCACTTGCAAGAAGCGAATCACATGTGACAGGTCGGGTTAAGGACTCATCCAGATTCCACTCAAATGAGAGCAGTTCGGGCGGTCCTGAAGGTTTGGTTCAAGGCCTCTTGCTGTGATACCAAAGAGCTCTATGAAGATGTAGTCCAACTTTGGTATTATAAGGGTGCGAGGATCCGGCAAACTTCGCAAACTGACATTTCTTGAAGGTAGGAGATGCCCCATCCACACATTGGCCACACCCAGCCACACCGCGGGTTGGTTCACGGGTTGGTTCACGGAGGCTTGGAGGCGGCTCCAGCAGGAAGAGAAGGCGCCATCTCGATTCGTCCGATTCGTCCGCGTTGAATCTTTCGGGTCCCAAAAGATGCGAACAGGACACACACATGACATGTGTGTGTGTGTGTGTGTGTTTCTGTGTTTGTGTGTGTGTGTGTTTCTGTGTTTGTGTGTGTGTGTGTGTTTGGGTCGTGTGTGTTTGGGTCGTGTGTGTTGTTTGTATGTGTGCTTGTTTTGTTTGAGGGTACCCCTTTGTTCAACCTGCTTAAGTAGGTTATAGCCATGGCTACCCACCAGCAATCCCCGTCCCATTTGCAACCATGGGTACGAGCTACTTACTAGGTGAGGCGCGGCCAAAGTCACCCGATTTCGGGACGAGAAGGGGGGAAGAGCTCCAAGTTTTCTCACCAAAATCAGGGGACGTTATCATGTCCTTGTCTAACTTCTGCTAGGAGGGGGACGAGCCCCGTTGAAAATAAACTACCCCACAGAAAGCTGGCCAGTTTTTCAGATGGCGTGTTTTAAGGTCAATCCTTCCCTTGCCCCAATGTGAGAGTTTCTCAAAATAGCAATCGGACAGCTGTTTGGTTGGTATTCAAACGACAACCAAAAGTATGTCATGTGAGAATAATTTACATACATATACATATGTACCATTATTGTATTTTTAGCAAAGTCAAGCAAGCCCCCGGTGTTTTGATTTTTGTCCAGTCCACGGACTCAGCGGGCTTGGCTTGGCAGGTCATGACCATGGAGGAAGCTGTGCGAAAGCTGGAGGCCTTACACGGGGCTCCAAGATGGGGGAATGTCCTGCCAGATGCGTGTTTCTCAGAGTTCCCTAAAAGTGGTCTACCCTATTCTTGTGGTGTCCCTTGAAAAGACATGATGCTGGGGTTTTTTGTTGGGAGCCGGCAGATTTTCAGGGCAATCAAGCACAAGGCGGAAGAACATCATTGGGGACACTTGGCAGTGGCTTCGGGAGCTGGGCTCGAAGAGTATCGTCAGCTGCGGTTGGCTCAGGGCTGGCTTTCCTCATAGGATGAATTAAGATGTTGTTCCAGCTAACCCTTTTAGTTGAGGGGCATGGC